GAGTCTTTTCACTCTTTTGGTTTTAGCTAACACTTTGATGGTCATAACTTATAAGATGTATACTTGATAATGAATTCGAAGGTTGTGTGTCATTCACAGTAGTATCATGATATAAAGTGTGACTCTGATCCTTCAAAGCAGTATTTTCTCTTACGAGGTCTGCAAAACCGTGCCTTCAAAATTTATTTTCTATTGATTGTATTTGAATGGCTACTTTCTGTCTGCCACCATAATTTACAAGGAGACCTTTGTATTGCTGTCTATGCAGAGGCAATGCTCTTAGGGATGATGCTATATATAATTTTGTGGGCAATCTATGGTAATGAAAGTAATGATAGAAACAAGGTTTTTCAATCAGACTTTGCCCTTGAAACATTAATAGACATGGATGTGTGTGTGTGTTTTTTTTAATGTGTTTGTGTGTGGGTGGGTGGGTGGGTGCGTGTGTGTTAGACTATATTCGTGCAGTAAATGTTTTTAAAATATGTATATTGCTGCTATATACTTCTTCCAGAAAGAAAATAAGTTGGCATTAGACATGGAAAGATAGGAGAGAGGCATAAATCGATGCATCACTTTGTGCATATGTTTGATCTTAACAAAATGTTGAACTTATAAGACATTACCAAGTACTTTCTATATGCTTATCTTTCAGTGAATTATGCTAACTTTCTAATTTGCAGGCTTGAACACCCTATTGTTCCAGTGATAAAGGAGCATCGGACATTAGCAAAGCTACTGAATTGTACTTTAGGATCAATATGCTCTTTAGCAAAGCTGTCTATGAGGACACAGAGGTATACATTACATGGCCGTTGGCTCCAAACATCAACAGCTACCGGACGACTTTCAATGGAGGAACCCAACCTTCAGGTTCAGTATCCTTTTTCTGGTTGAATTTCTGTCATTTGCTCTACTTTCTTTGTCATTAGCATACAAAAATTTAGCTGAATTGTTGGTGCATGGAAAATTTGCAGTGTGTTGAACATATGGTTGAATTTAGAATGCATCAAAATGGTGATGGTCAATGTGATTCTGATGGTATAGATTATAGAATCAATGCGCGGGATTTTTTTATTCCAACTGAGGTGAGGCAGATGCCTATATTATTTCCTTTTGTTTACTTCTATCCGACTATCCTAGTATTGGTAGCAATTGACGTTTTCTTTCAGGAAAACTGGCTTCTCTTAACGGCAGATTATTCTCAGATAGAACTGAGGTTGATGGCTCACTTCTCTAAGGACGCTTCTCTAATTGAACTACTTAGTAATCCTCATGGTGATGCCTTTACCATGGTAGCATCTAGATGGACAGGCAAGCTGGAATCCAATGTAAGCTCTGAAGAGCGAGACCAAACCAAAAGACTAGTATATGGCATTCTTTACGGCATGGGTGCTAATTCACTTGCTGAGCAGTTGCACTGCAGTGCAGATGAAGCCAAGGCGAAGATTCAAAGTTTTAAAAATTCTTTCCCCGGCGTCACTTCTTGGCTTCATGAAGCTGTTGCATTCTGCCGTCAACACGGGTACTAGATTATTTCCCCTCCTCCCACAGTTAGTAATTTGGTATCCATTGTTTTTATCTTGTCTTTCATTCTGCACTCATTTTGGACAAAGAAGATTTTCATTGGCATAAGAATGATGTCCTTGTATAATGAATAGGAGTAATATAACTACTATCAAACAAAGCAAACAATGATTTCCTCCCTCTTGGAAGAGTAATGAAGATTTCTTCACTTGTACCTCATTTGAAGGGCTATAAATAAAATCTTGAGTAATTTTGCAAAGAAAACTGTGTAATCTATGTAGTAATTTCTTCTGTGTTGAGATTCAAGGTTTGGCTAGAAAGTAGATGACTTAGCTTCTGTGTTAATTTTAGTAACTAGCATGCCAATATCCTGCTGTATATTTGTGTGTAACAAATTGGTTATATATATGGCCCTTAATCAGTGTTAACCCGTTCTAATTAGTTTTGCTCCACATGCTGTATTGCTGTCATAGTGTATCCGGCATCCTGAGTTTAAGGGTTCGTTGTGATGTTAGGAAAGTTTAAGAACATTGTTTATTTTTTTTTTCCTTCTGGCCCTCATGGAGAATATAAAATTATAACCATTTTTTTTTTTTGCCATTGTTTTGTTCATTTTCAAAAATCTATGTTATAAATCATGTGAAGCAGTAATTCATCTTTAGTTTCATGAGCCCTTAATTTAGGTCCTGCCACTGCTCCCCTTAGTTTCCACCTTGTCAGACATTGACAAGGACCACTTTGTCCTTCTTTGTGGTGCAGATATGTGCAGACTCTTAAGGGTAGAAAACGTTTCTTATCAAAAATACAATTTGGTGATGGTAAGGAGAAAGCTAAAGCACAGAGACAAGCTGTGAATTCTATATGTCAGGTACCATCTTCTATTTGCTTGATCAATTCTGTTACCTTGCTTAAGGGAAAGGGAATTTATATTCTATAATCGGCATCTTCATCTAACAGGGTTCTGCAGCTGACATAATTAAGATTGCAATGATCAACATATACTCTGAAATTGCTGGATGCGAGACACATAGTTCTACAGATGCACATGTGACAAAATTTTCCATGCTCAAGGGACGTTGCCATATTCTTTTGCAGGTTTGCCATACATATTGAATGGTGTTTGATTTATGAAATCTGGAAATTTGAGTTAATAAAAGTACCTGAGAGTTGGGAGACTTTTTGTACATTTGTTGTACTAAAAAATTCTGTCAGAGTACCATCAATTAGCCTAGCAGTCTGTAAAATTGAACAAGACATTTCACCTCTTTGGATCAATTTGGTTACTGACATATAGCCGGTAACCAGTGGGGTGTGTTTGGCTGGAGTATCTTGTTGGCACTCCCCATCATGCTTGACAGTAGCTCTTGTTGTCAAATATGCTTCATCATCCCTATCATAAGTATGCTTTTACCTGTTTTTCTGTCATCATCATGCTTGTTACATTTTATGTCTTATATTATGTACATGGTTCTATACTAATGTTATCAATCTTCTGAGCATGTGTTCAAGATATATCATTCAAATGTTTTTCTTCACTGCCAGGTGCATGATGAGTTGGTTTTGGAAGTTGATCCATCTGTTTTACGGGAAGCTGGTTTATTGCTGAAGACAAGCATGGAGAGTGCTGCTTCCCTCTTAGGTTTGCGTTGACGATTTGCATGATAGTAATATTGTTATCCAAATTTTAATACTCATCAGTATTGTATCGTGTTGCAGTCCCTCTACAAGTGAAGGTGAAGGTTGGCAGAACTTGGGGTTCATTGGAGCCTTTTAATGTCAATGACTAAAGAGAATAAGGCTGCTTTATGTTCGAAGTTTCTCCATCTTGCCGACAGCCAGTGGGGTTCAATTGTGGCGGGTGTATCTGGTTGGGTTTCAAAGGAGGTTAGATTTGTTCAAGAGATGAAGGAGAAACACCACCATGTGCCCTTCCATTGGCTGGGTATGGCCATTGTCTGGTGTGATCTCTGACCAGATGAGGCTAGTTGAGCTTGAGGCCTTGAGGGCTGAGAGAGATGGCTTGAAATTCAGGGATATTTTGCATGGAGGCAGTTGGAATCATTTGTATGGAGCTATTATTTGGAGCTGAAGGATTTGAAATTTGATTTCTGTTATAGCTCGTCCTCCATCGAGATTTATGCAGAGTGCCGTCTGTGAGCCATTTTGCATGAGACTGTCTTTAACCAACGTTGGACACCACAGATCTTCATGACCGTCTGTAATCAGTCTCGTTTCGTTGATGAGTTGCTGCCTTATTGGTTGATAATCAGATGCCTCAAGGGATTGCCCTGGGAACTATCTTGCTTTGTGCGTACATGGCTTTTTAGAGAAAAATGTCTGTCGATGCTGGAAGAGTCGCAGATGATTGACTTGTTCTCAATGTTGATTTCTATGGATGTCTCTTAGTGATCTTCCACCTGTTGATCATCAATTAATTGCTGAGGTATTCTGTCATTATCCTCTTCATTTGTATATTTAGTGTAAAACTTTTACTGATGACAAGAAATATCTTTCAGACAACTATTCTAGTTATCAAAGCTGGCAATTTGTTCACAGAAAATAAAGAAAAGTTTGAATAAAGATTACTTGCGTTCTTATGTAAAATCTAACATCGATTTATATCTGAGCCTATAAAGATACTTAGATACATAAATTTATCTTTGAAATAAATTTTCATGTATTTTTTCTTGTCTATCTACATGCTACCGCCATGTGTAATCGATTTATAACATCGATTACTTTTTCTTCATAATCTATTCTAAATTTTATTCAGCATGGATGGAGAGTGTAATGTGTTATTAGGTATTCAATCTATCTGGTTTCAAAACAAAAAAGTATTCAATCTATTTACATGCTACCGCCATGTGTCATCGTCCTTCCGTATGAATTGGCGCCACATGAACTCTATGTGTCACTTTATGTGTCATTATTCATTATCTTAAAACTCTTTATATGTGTAACCTTTAATTGTACTTAATTTTCCCACAGAATGTAACTCCTAAGTAATTGTGCAATTTTCTACAATTTAATTTGTAAGACTTTAATCACACACTAATGGTCATTGCTCGGGCTAATAACTAGTTCCTTTATTACAAACTAATCCTTTGATATACCTAGTTATATTTTATCTTTTGTAATTTGTAAACTGTAGTAGGTTGAGAAACTTTAGTGGATTCTTGATTCAATTTAAATTTTGATCCAATTATTCATGAACATATAGGCAAAAAAAGGTTTGGCACACCAAACATTAGATTTAAAAACATGCATCAACCCTGAAGTTATATTTCACAGAAGTTTAAGGGCAAAAAATGACCAGAATTTGTATTTCTACTTTTCTTGATCAAACAAGCTACACCATGCCATAGTTGTATAAAAAAGCATTACACCCCGACTTCTGGCAGGTGGCAAACTTCATTCCTAATAGCTAGGAAATGAATGATGTGATTTTACGCATTTCCTTTTGAAATGAGGACCTATTTAGCAATCCATAATACATCATCATCAAGTAGAAAATGGCAAATTGCGCATGTTTTAGGCTCAAATTGAAAGGATAGCGAATGAGCATGGTCATCTGAGTTTGAATTTTTGTGGCAAACTGCTGGTGCATTCAAAGTGGAGCTGTCCGAACCCACCAAAGTTGCTATGTACACATCCATGTTCTCTCTCTTTTGGCAATAGAACACAGCACAAGGGAAAGGGATCTTATGGCAAGTTACCGCTTGAGCACCACATGGAAGCTTCTTGATACCTGTGACTTTGTACTCCATATTGATATCTTTATCTATGTTTGCCGATATTGCCTTAACTTGCGATCCTATCGTAGAGGTGGCAAAATCAACCATGGATTCCAAGGAGTAACAACACTTATCACCACCTTGTTCATCCTCGCAATATTGTAGTGTTTCGTTCATCATGGTGGCCTCTAGTGAGTCTTGTTTTAGATTGAAGTGTTTTAAGATTGCGGGTAAGTTAGCCAGGGAGAAATGTAGTTTTTCAACCATATCTCGAGATATAAAGGTGGTTGGATTAGTGGACTTCATGAAGTGGAGGTTCATTTTCTTCCCAAGGCTTAAGTCACTCTCGGAAAAGAAGAGAGAAGCAACAGCATCCACAATACTAGAAATGTCTTGTTTCATGGTTTGAGAGCCTTTGAGTGTTTCAATGGAGGAGGATTTCTCCATGCCTTTAGGTGATTCCATAGGTGCTCCGTAGCTTTTACTCATGTCTGTAGCAGATGATCTGGGAGGGCCGTAAAAACTCTTACTAGAGCCTGAAGCATGGTTTGAGGATTGGGTGGAAGACTGACTGGATGATTTACTAGAGGCATGGTTGGATTGTTTATTAAAGGCATGATTGGAAGCATTGCTAGAGTGTTGTCTAGAGTTTTGACTTGATTCTTGGTTAGATTGATGTCTTGATGATTTCTTATAACCCTCACTAGACTGTTGCCTTGATTCAAAGTTGTGGCTTGAATGGTGTTTGGATAATTGGCTAGAATTTTTTTCCGAGGCTTCCTTAGATGCTTCATTAGTTGGTTGGCTTGAGGCTTGTTGTGAAGCTTGGCTAGAGTGTTTGTTTGAGGATTTATTGGATGATTTACTAGAGTGATGGTTGGAGGATTCATCAGATGAATGAATAGATTTTTTGCTTGAGGCTTGATTATATCTATTATAAGAGGGTTTATTGTATAATTGATCAGATCCATCATTTGAGTCTTGGCTTAAGGATTTACTTGAGAATTTCTTTGAATCTTCTCTAGAGTATTGTTTTGATTCTTTTTTATTAAGTTCTTGGTGTGAATGTTGTCTTGAAGTTTCACCAAATGCTTGCCTAGAGTTTTGGCTTGTGTCTTGGTTAGGTACTTGACTTGAGTGTTGGCTTGAATTTTGCTGGGATGTTTTGCTAGAATCTTGACTTGAGGCTTGCTGAGCATCTTGGCTAGTTGTTTGGCTCGGGGCTTCTTGGGAATATTGACTAGAGGGTTGGTTTGAGGAATTATTCAATGCTTCATTAGAATGCTGGTATGAGGATTTACTAGATGCTTCACTAGAGTGTTGGTTTGAGGCTTCGGTAGATGATTGGTGAGAGTGGTGGTTTGAGGCTTGATCAGATTCTTGGCCAGAATGTTGTCTAGATACTTGATTTGTTCCATTAGTTGAGTGTTGATCTGAGGATTTATCAGATGATTTCAAGGAATCTGTATTAGAGTGGTTTTTTGATTCTTCACTTGATATTTTTCCTAAATCTTGCCAAGACTTTTGGTTTCTGAAATTATTATTTTCTTGGTTTGAATTCAGGTTCGAGACTTGTTGTGGTGTTTGGTTAGAGGTTTCCTGGGATGTTTTGTTAGAATTTTCATCAGAGTGTTGGTTTGAGGATTTGTCATAGGCTTGGCTAGAGTGGTTATTTCTTGAGGTTTGTGGAGATCCTTGACCATAGTGTTGGCTTGAGGATTTCCCGGATGCTTGGCTAGAGTAGTTACTTGAGCCTTGTGAATATCCTTGATTAGAGTGTTGGCTTGAGGATTTCCCGGATGCTTGGCTAGAGTAGTTATTTGAGCTTTTTGAAGATCTTTGACTAGAGTGTTGGCTTGAGGATTTCCCAGATGCTTGGTTAGAGTGTTTGCTTGAGCCATATTCAGATCCCTTACTAGAGTGATGCCTAGAAGTTTGATTGGATTCATCATTAGCCTGTTGGTTTAAGGCTTCGCCAGAGGCTTGGCTAGAGTTATTTCTTGAGGCTTGTTTGGATCCTTGATTCAGTTGTTGGCTAGATTCCTGATCATATCCATTATTGTCTAATCTTGAGAAATTGCCAGATGTTTGGTTACAGGAGTGAGTTGAGTTTTGATCTGATGCTTGGTTAGAGTGTTTGGATGCTTCGTTAGAGTTTTGACTTGAAGATTTATCAAATGACTTTTTGGTTTCTTCATTTGTGTTTTGGTTTGAGTCTTGAGTTGAGGATATCTCAAAAGAATAACCTTTTGCTTGACTAATGTTTTTGTTGGAAGCTTGACTTAAAGGCTTATCTATTGGTTGTATTGATGCATGACTTTGATTATGACTTGAAGATTTTGTAGAAGACTCATTAGAAGCTTGGTTGGAGTTTTGAATTGATGAATTCTCAAAAGATTGCCTAGGTGCTTGATTTGTAGAATTATTAGAAGGTTGTTCAGACTCGTAATTAGAATCGTTATTTGATGATTGAGTTGAGGACTCTCTAGGGTATTGTTCAGAAGCGTGATTTGTGTAGTCCGTATTTGATTCTTGGTTTGATGACTTAGATCCTTGTTCAAATGCATGTTTAGAAGATTTGCTTGGTGCTTCACCTAATGCTTGGCTAGAGTTTTTGCTTAAGGTTTTTTCAAAGGCTTTGTTGGATTCTTTTCTTGATGGTGTATTTGGCGATTTCTTAGCTGTTTGATTTGTTCCTTCATTTGAACTTGATGTTTTATTTGACAACAAAGCTTGATTTGAATCTTGATTAAAAGATGTATTTGGTGATTGGGTTGATTCTTGGCCTGTAGGTGTTTCAGGAGATATGTTAGAAGCTTTATTAGAATCATGATCCGACTCCGATGCTTGACTTGAAGCTTTACTTAAATCTTGTCGAGAAGAATTTTCTGAAGATTGGCTTGATGATCCTTTAGACGACTGACCATTATCTTGGCTTAAGCCTTTTGTTGGACTTGGTGCTTGGCTTGATTCTTGCCCCGTATGCATATTAGAATATTGATTAGATGATTTACTTGAAGCTTTAGCATAATTTGATGTTTGACTTGATGACTCTGATGACCCTGATTCATGACTTGATTTGTGACTTGAAGATTTTCTAGATGTGTGACTTGAAGATTTTTCAGAAGCTATACTTGAGGCATGGTGTGACTTTGAGAATTGGCTAGACGAATGGCTAGAATGCTCATTTGACCACTTGCTCGACGATTGACTTAAAGTTGATGAAGAACCAAAATTTTCACCATTTGGTGTTTCAGTGCCAGTATTAACTCCACCATCTTCCATTTGTTTATTTGTGTTAAAATTCGAACCTCCAGAACCTTTAGGTCTAACATAACTTTTAAATTTAAGCATTGAGTTGCCATCCATTTGTGCATTACCTTTTAAGTTATTATCTTCTACAAAAAGAAATAAATAAAAAAATTATAAGATATGTCAAAGTTTATACAAGCATTATTTCTGTAACCGAACAATTTTTTTATTATTATTTTTTTATTTTTTATTTATTGTTATGAGTTCAATTAACTTCAATTAAGCAAGACCTTTACAAATTAAGCAAGATCAAGTTCAATTAAGCAAGACCTTCACAAATTGATTGTATATTTTTAGTCTTTTACCATTAAACATTATCCTCGGCATCTTTATTATATTATATCTATCAAAGTAAATAAGAAATTCAAATAAGACAGAAATTAGAGGAAACAAACAAGTAAGAATACCTTTTAAAGAATCTGTAACAGCCTTTGGCATTTTTGTATTTTCTCCTAAATGTTGTTTCCAATATTGTTCTTGCTTATGAAAATTGGTATAAGAACTTGACTCGGATGATGTATGAGACTCTGAAGAATATTCTGAATTGCTGTTAGTATTTTCCATTTCACTTTCTGATTGTGAAAATGTTACATGGCTTGTCATTATTGCTAGCTGCAATATCAATTAATAGAAAGTTAAAAAAGAAAAAAAAAACGATTAAACAAATGAATATACTTTTATCAATTGTATTAGTTGAATCCGTTATTTAATACTTCCTCCTTTTGTTCTACCATATCGACCGATCATTAATATCTATAACTATGTATCAATAAGAAAATTGTAAATATTTGACATATTAAGAATGTGCATCGAGATAAATCTAATTCGGAGTAACATGTTTATGTAGGATATGGTTAGAGTGAGTATTATATAAATAATGAGGTAGAACTAAAAATTTAAACGGAGAAAAGAAAATTAAGATACAAAGATAGTGTGATTTACATGGACAAAAGTGACAATCAGAAGGATGCGTGACTCCATTAGAACTTTTGCAACCGGACTAAAGAAGATTCAATTATATATACATGTATATATGATGAAGAAATTAGAATAAAATTGAAATAAAGTTATACGCTTTATTTTTATTTTGTTTTCTTTTTATTTTTTTTTGGAATGTAATGATAGTGAGAAGAAATTAACGTGACTAAGATTTGTAGACACAATGAGACTTTGTGTAGTATTTATATAATTTTCAAGTGAAGTTACTCAATAATTCTCTTCCATTAATTTATTCAGAAAATTTTGGCCAATGGCATGTTTATGAATTTGTTAAATGTATTCTATAAATAAATATTGGGTAATCTTAAAATGGCAAGACTTTATATTTAGGAAGGGATTAGAAGGAAACCACTCCTTTTACGAAAGAATAAAGGAAGCCACTGCCATGAAAACAGTAATTTGTTTCTTCTAGTTATTAATTTATAATCCATTAATAACATTAATAGATACATATACATTTTTCGTTTTTCTTTTATTACAATTTATTTTGTTTCATCAGTACGTCTAAAATTTTGACTTTTTCCATTAATTTTTTTTTTTTTTTTATTTTTTTTTTTGGAAAATTTGCAAATTGCAGCCATTTAAAGTTTGTATTTTGCAAATTGCAGCCCAAAAGTTCGTATAAATTGCAGCCCGATTCAATTTTTTCATCGGTTTACATGTTGAAAAATTTTCGGTTAATGTTTTAGGGGTCATTTTAGGTCTTAAGGGACCGAATCGAGCTCAGAATTAGCAAAAAAATAACGTAAATGTCTCATATTTACAGTTTTCCACAAATCGATACACTTTTGTTACGCAAAACAAGATACTTGCGTTATTTTTTTTTGCTAATTCCGAGCTCAATTCGGACCCCTAAGGGCTAAAATGGCCCCTAAAACCTTAATCGAAGATTTTTCAACTTGTAAACCGATGAAAAAGTTAAATCGGGCTGCAATTTACAATTTATATGAACTTTTGGGCTGCAATTTGCAATTTTTTTTAAATGGCTGCAATTTGCAAAATACGAACTTTAAATGGCTGTAATTTGCAAATTTTCCTTTTTTTTGGTACTGTTCTTATGCATTTAGCAATATTAATGATCAAAGTTGATATGCGTTGACATGCGTAAAAGTTAAAATATTGGCCCAATTATGCTCGGCCTGAGGCAGCGGGAGGCATAAATGTCATACTTGGCCTAAACTCTATATACTACCTCCGTTACAGATAATGTGCAACGATTTGACATAAAGTAGAGAGGTAAAATGTCTAATCGTTGCACATAACCTGTAACGGAGGTAGTAGCTATAATGCCTCGCTCTACAAGAAGTAGAGTTTGGTGAGTTAGACAAAATAGAGCTGAAGCACCATCTAAGCTTAATGTGTTACACAACCAAGCATACAATACATACACAGTAGTACATTTACACTCTATATTACAAGCAGTAGTAGAGCTACATAATATTGCAAACGTTACACTAAATGGTAAAGAGAAGTAAGGTGAATTTGCATTGCTTTGTTAAGGAGGCGGCACAAAGCCTACTTAACATACTCTTTCAAATTCAATCCACAACTTATTTTTTCAACAAACAAAGATAGAATATAAAGCAACAAACTAAGCTCACATACAACATAACATCATCAACATTAACAATCAAGCTCACACATACATTAGTACGCGAATTTTGTCACTTAGGCATCCATATAACGGTATCCTCAGCAGCCGGAAAATGGCAAATGTGTGTACTTCCCGGCACAACTTTAAGAACAATTTTCGCGTAATTGTCCAAGAAATCATTCGATTCCATGTGACACGCGACAACTGCTTCTATTTTGGTACCATCTTTGCCTACTAAGGAAGCCATGTAAGACCTTATTGTCTTTGTCCTATGGCAGAAAAACACGGCGTAAGGGTAGCCCATCTTGTGGCAAACTACGGTCTCATGATCATTTTTTACTAGTCTTTTCACCCCATAGATTGTGTACTCCATTTTCGAGTCTTTCTTTACTTGTGTTGTAAGTGCTTTCACATTTGTACCAATCATGGAGATAACGTAGTCTACCATGGACTCGAGTGAGGTCACACATTTCTTCTCCACTCCTTCGATTGTAGGCTCCTCACAAAGCTCGATTCTCTTCGAGAGAACATAGGCTCCTGTCAAATGCGGGTCTGGGCCGCACCCGCAAATCAAGAGAGAGTCCACTTCACAAGTCCAAGGAGGTTCCATCCCAAAACCATATGGCAATAGGAGGAGTAGCCCCTTAGCCTTATAAAGTGTTTAACTCTCTCTTCAAACAATGTGGGACACTTACATGTGGTGACACTTGAGAGGTTTATTCTTCAACACTCCCCCTCACATGTAAGGTCCCTTTTAACTTTGTCTCATGTGATTTTTCGGGCTAGAGTGCTTCTTCACTCCCCCTCACACGGACCTACTCTTGGCCCAGTGAACTTTAGCCATTTAAGGTCCCATATTGTGGGCCTGACTCTGATACCATGTCAAATGCGGGTCTGAGCCGCACCCGCAAACCAAGAGAGAGAGTCCACTTCACAAGTCCAAGGAGGTTCCATCCCAAAACCATATGGCAATAGGAGGAGTAGCCCCTTAGCCTTATAAAGTGTTTAACTCTCTCTTCTTCAAACAATGTGGGACACTTACATGTGGTGACACTTGAGAGGTTTATTCTTCAACAGCTTCATTTGATTTAGGGTCCAAGGAAAGAATTTGGAGGGTTTCGGGTATCTTTTTAGATGAGAAAGGGATCTTGTTGGAGAGCTGGCGAGGTAGGAAGAAACCCTTTTTTATGCTCTTTTGAAAGTGCAAGGTCATTTTTGTACCAAAGCGTAGGTTTTTCTCTACAAAGAAAACTTGATCTTTGGTTGCACTATTAACATTATCATCAACATGGACTGACTCTTTGGTATTAACAGATTTTGCGTTGTAAGATAACAAACCAATATAGCCGTTGGTAGATGCTAATCCTTTTTTATTGTAAGATAACAATCCAATGTAGCTTTAGTAGATGCTAATTCCTTTTTATCACCGTAAGATAACAAACCAATGTAGCTTTAGTAGATGCTAATTCCTTTTTATCACCGTAAGATAACAAACCAATGCAACCGTTGGTAGATGCTAATGCTTTTTTATTATCGTAAGATAACAAACCAATGTAACCGTTGGTAGATGCTAATTCTTTTTTATTATCGTAAGATAACAAACCAATGTAGCCGTTGGTAGATGCTAATCCTTTTTTATTATCGTAAGACAACAAACCAATGTAGCCATTGGTAGAAGCTAATGTTTCTTTAGTACTTCCTTTAAGTGGCATATTTGTTAGTTCAGCTCCTGCATTAGATTCAAATCAAAGAAAAGGAAGTTAGAGCGAGTATGTAGTAGTTTATTTTAAGGTATTTTTATCATAGTACAAGGTAAAAAAAGGATTTATTATAAAATGCCTCTGATTTTTCATTGATACAACTATATAAGGTTATTAGAATTTATTCCCTTCAGATTTTTTAGAAAAACTTATTAACTATTCTAGCCCAAAGCAGACTATATCACATCAGATTAGAAATATGATTTCATTTACTGTATATGTAGTACTTGTAATATTAGTCCTACCTCCGTTACAGGTTATGTGCAATGATTAGACATTTTCCTTCTCTGCTTTATGTCAAATCGTTGCACATAATGAGGTAGTATATCTCTTTGCAGTAGATATTGCTATCTACAAGTCCAAATCAGATTATATCACATCAGATCAAAAATATTAGTAAAGTTATTGTTCTTCCAAGGTAAAAAAATATGTTTTGTAAAAACAAAGGTTTTATCGTACTCCGAGTTAAAATTAAGTAGGGAAGAAATCACTTCTTGTGTTCACAACGGTCAATACATTATGAAATAAAGGGAGTAAATAAAAACAAATTAAAGAAAGTTGTATATAAGTAAGAAATAAACCAGATGGGGGTAGTATGTTCTTGATGGATTGGAGCATGGGAGTGTAAGGCAGCTTAAGCTTCCAGTAAGCTTCTGGAGAAATTGATGCAGGAGCGGAGTTTCCCACTTCCACCAGTGCAAGCTGAAGTAAATATATTTCAAAAATGTTTAATAAAAATTCGGTATTATATGTAGACGAGTTAAATAAAATTCCACATTTTAATTCAAAGTAGCATATGTGAATAGTGATAAAAGTCAAAGTGTTAACTGTTACAACTAAAAAACGAAGGAAATATATGGTTATAATTAGAAAGGTGACAAATTATTGATCTTTAATTATATCCAAAGATTTAATTTCTAATTTAACAGAGAACTCCATTTGTTTCTTTAACACCATCAAGAGGATTATAATAAAAGTAAGCAATGCATTTGCTAATTAGAACACTTACAGTAGTGAATAAAGAAAATAAGAGCAGATGAAACTTTGCCATTAAATAAGAACAACTTTGAAGCTCTTACAATATATTATTCCTAATATTTTGAGAGAAGATAAGATAAGAAACTATGGTAGATAGAATTGCGGACTACACAGGGTATTATAAGCTAGGACTACTTTGGGTTTGGAAGAAAAATACTTCCTCCGATCTGTTAATATTGCAACAAGGAGGAAATTACGCATCCCAAAACATATTTTATATGCTAAATATCTATAATTGTGTAAAAGCAAAAATTATAAAAAGTTGATATTGTGAAAGTATTTTATGAGGCGAACCCAATAAGATCCCACTTGACTATATTTTGTTTAACGTATAACTCATATTATATGGTCAAACGAGAGTGATGAATAGTGCAAAAAGTCCATTGTTGCAAAATTAATAGAACGAAGGAAGTAATATATAATCCCTCCGTTTCATTTTTTTTTCTCATTTAGAATTTTTTGTTTTTTTGTGAGATAAAATTGATCAAAGCAAGAAAAACAATAAGAAACAATTATATATACAATATAATATAAATACAAATTTGATGATGATAAGAATGGTACAAAGTTTTTATAAAAAACATAATAGTGATAGAGAAAACAAGTAGATAGCAATATAGCAATGTGACCATGCAAGTTACGTTGTAGTACAACTTCAGTTTAATGAAGGGGCAATTATTAATTTTGGACAAAATTACTGAGATGTGTGATTAGCAATTATTATATTTAGAAATTTTTCGTTATGAGGAGCTACACGATGAACAAGGTATGAGTAAGCTTGCTATTAGGTAAAGTTTACGGTACGTAGTTTGTTTGTTTCTCGCTCTATCTCGAATCATATGTAACTCAGCTCTGTCCCAAATCATACATATGTAATTTCATACGCATAAAAATTACTCATATAAAAATTTGATATTAATAAAATATACAATAAGAGGAATAATTTTTATTTAACTCGAACCATTAACTCAGTTCCTTTTTTGTTATACTCACTTACATTATCCGAACTTTAAGTTTTTCCCATTTTCCTTTGACACGTTAAAACATTGATATCTAATTACATGTTAAGATTGATATCTTAAAAGTATTTATTGAAATGAATAAAATAAGATTCCACTTTATTATGTTTTAATCGAACAGGAATCTTAGAGATTCGTATCATCATAAGCTAAATTGGATCTTTTTGTGATTAAATAATATCTTCAATCTTCATCGATCATACACAAAAAATATATATTAAAAAAAATATATGTCTACTGTCGTCCAATATTTGTTTAGTATACCTTGGTCTTTATGGTCTTTCTTTTATTTATCTCTTCAAATACCTAATTTTGTCTGCACAACACTTTAATCGGGTATGTTTGCCAATATAGATACCTAACTTTTACCATAAACATATTTGATCAGTATTCCGTAATACGGATTATACGGAGTAGTTTAATGTACATAGGTATTACATAAATTCATAATGTACTAGGCCCTGTTTGATTCACCTTAATTTTGCTGAACTGAAATTATTTTTACTGAAATGAACTTAATTTTACTGAATTGAAATTATTTTTACTGAACTTAAATTATTTTTACTGATTTTCTATTATAATTCTTCTTTAAGAAAACTGAATTTTACTGAACTGAATTTATTTTTACTGAACTGAAATTATTTTTACTGAACTGAAATTAATTTTACTGAACTGAACTTATTTTTACTGAACTGAAATTGTTTTTACTTAATGTTATTTTTTTTAAGGTGAAAAGAACAAGGCCCTAATCCCACAGCATATTGCATGTAATAAGTGCGTTTTTTTTTTTAAAATTTTTTTAAGACAATAAGTGCGTGTTTTTATACATATATAAGATGCATTCTTAAAAGTCTAAGCCATTAACATATATCTTCAAGCCTTTTAAAGAACATTTTTATTGACTTATTGTACAACTGTTTGTACCACTTGCATGAACCAAAACTTTTTATATGTTTGTGTTATGTTCATCTTAGAAATTTTTAAGCGAGATTGTACCATAACATATACAACCAGTTGTACCAACGATTTTGAATAATGAGAATTGAAACTTAAAACGAAACATGTAAGAGGTAAAGCTCGCTTCATCTTGGCCAATCAAATTCATCAAAGTTTCAATTCAATTCTCACATTGTAAACAAAAAAGTGAAAAACCGCTTAGCTTATGACTTTCGTAAAGGAAATTACTTTGCATGAAATGCCATCTTCCTATAGGTATTTAGATTTCACACAACAAAAAGAAAAAAAGAAAAAAAAACACAAGTTGTACATTAGTACTCAACAAGCAATGGAGTTACACACATATCATGCGAATTGCGAAGTTAAGCCACAATAAGTTCATATATCCCTTCCAAATTTTACAACTTATTTCTTCAAACAAAGGGAGAACTTAAATCAACTACCTTGTCTAGCTAGTTAAGCTTAAGGTCACACACAACATCAATGGTTCGATCAACACCAATTACAAGCGCGCTTACATGTACGTACTTGCAACTCTACTTGGGAACCCAGATGACGGTATCCTCTGCAGGAGGGAAATGACAAATATGAGTACTTCCTGGCACAATCTTAAGAACATTTTTCGCGTAATTGTCCAAGAAATCATTCGATTCCATGTGACACGCGACAACTGCTTCTATTTTGGTACCATCTTTGCCTACTAAGGAAGCCATGTAAGACCTTATTGTCTTTGTCCTATGGCAGAAAAACACGGCGTAAGGGTAGCCCATCTTGTGGCAAACTACGGTCTCATGATCATCTTTTACGAGTTTTTTCAACTCCTTGATTGTATACTCCTTGGTCGAGTCTTTCTCTACTCGTGTTGTAAGTGCTTTCACATTTGTACCAATCATGGATATAACATAGTCTACCATGGACTCGAGTGAGGTCACACATTTCTTCTCGACTCCTTCGATTGTAGGCTCCTCACAAAGCTCGATCCTCTTCGACAGAACATAGGCCTCTTTCGATTTAGGGTCTAAGGAAAGGATTTTGAGAGTTTCTTGAACTTTGTCGGATGAAAAGGGTATTTGGTTGGAAACTACACGAGGTAGGAATAAACCCTTTCTAGTGCTTTTTTGGAAGTGTAAGGTCATTTTTTTCCCTAGGTAAAGATCTTTCTCTACAAAGAAAAATTGATCTTTAGTTGCACTATTAGCATCATCATCATCAACATGGGATGACTTGGAATTATCGACGTGTATACCTTTTTTATTGTAAGCTAACAATCCGCCGTAGCTGTTGGTAGTAACTAATCCTTGTTTATTAATATCACGTTTTTTATTGTAAGCTAACAATCTACCATAACTATTGGTTGTAACTAAGCCTTGCTTATTATCAATGTGTTGACCTTTTTTATTGTAAGATAACAATCCATCATAACCATTGGTTGTAACTAAGCTTTGCTTGTTATCAATATGTTGACCTTTTTTATTGTAAGCTAACAGTCCACCATAGCTATTGGTAGTGACTAATCCTTCCTTATTATCGAGGTGTGAATTTTTTTTATCATAAGATAACAACGCCCCATAACTGTTGGTAGTAACTAATCCTTGTTTATTATCGAAGTGTGGACCTAATTTATTGTAAGCTAACAATCCACCATAACTGTTTACCGTCACTAATCCTTGTTTATTATAAGATAAATACTCGGGATTATTGGAATCTAAACCTTGTTTTTTGTAAGATAAATAATTTGGATTACTCGAGTCTAATCCTTGCTTATCATAAGACAAATATCGTGGATTAGAAGAAATTAGGGACTCTTTGTTATTGTAGGATAGTAGTCCAATGTAACCATTTAGGCTGTTCAAAGAAGCTTTGCCGTGAGATAACAACGTATCCATTGGTTCGCCTCCTTCTGCATAATATTCAATGTAATAGAAAAATTAATACGATTTCTTATCCAAATAATAAATGAATATACAACCTCCATTCTTTTTTTTTCATGTTTACGTTTTTTTAGTTTCCAATATAACTTCAAACTAACGGAAAAAGTAAAGTTTGGAATATGCTTTCGAAACATTTCAAACACGACGAACAAAAAAGAACAAGAGAGTATTTTATTTGTAAAAACAAAACTTGGCTATGTAATTGAGAAATTTTTAATAATGAGAAGAAAACGGATGAAGTAAAAAGAAACGGATGAAGTATTAATTAAAATGAAATAGATCGAGTATTGAGATAAATTAAACCTGATCTTGGGGGTCCTGCCACGATTGATTGCTGGATAGATTTAGGCATGGGTGTGTAAGGCAGCTTAAGTTTCCAGTATGCTTTTGGAGAAATTGATGCAGCATTTCCCAATCCCACCAAAACAATCTAGACAAATAATAATATATAGATAATTATGTGAATTATACAAAAATTATACGAGTACTTCGTATATTATTAAATAACATAATTTGAATTTGTTGTGGCCTTCTATGTTAGAGGATCAAATTAATCAAACATTTAAGGTGATAGTTGAGGTTCAGGCCGGATTAGTTATTATATCATGAATATAGGAAATTATTGTACATAGATAAACAATTTAGATACTAATTTTTCTACTATTAATATGCATAGAAGACTTACCAAGAATAAATAAGAAAGGAGTAAGAGGTAATTTGCCATTATAACAACTATGGAACTATATATGTTGGAAAGTGTTGTTACAGCGAGTTTAGAGGAGATTAGATTGAGGCTTTTGTGAGTAGAGCTAGTATACTCACACTGTAATTTATAGGAGTTATGTCACACATTGATACATCGATCCAAAAACAATTTAAGGGTTTAATTATATAGAACCAAATATAATAAGTGTTTGGTTATGAATTACATATGCTAGACAATGTAAAAAATTGTTTAAAAAAGACTAGAGAAAACCATGACAAGTAAATTATGCATGTAACGATCCCATGTCTTGAGTATCACTTCCTAAATTTCTAAACAAATGATTAAATTAGTTGATATCCACATGATCACACATCATAGTAGTGTAATCTGATTGTCTTTAATCAATCACTTATCCCCTCCCTGATCACGATCACACATCATAAAGTAGTTTTTCACTTTTGTTATCAATTTTCTTAATACTCCATACTTATGCGTTAAACTACAGTGATATCAAACGATCCCTAAGAAAGATATCTATCACATTTGTCCGTCATTATTTTAGATTTATAGCTCTATAAAACAAAGTTGTTTAGATCAAGATGTGCTTATTCTGTGATAGTTGAGCAATAAACTGATTTCATTAAATTAATTGAACAGTATTACTGAATAGGCATCTTGATCTAAAAACCTTTTGTAAATCGATGATTAAAATAATAAACTATGACGAACAAGTTGTCACAAATCAACCAAGATATGTGATCAGCAGCTTAATCTAAATTATGTGTATGACGGACATGCATGACGATTTATTTGTCGCCTTGATTTTGTTTCACATTATAAAAAGCAATGATATGACAAAATACCAAGTAAGCAATTTATACATAAGTAAAACCAATTTTATAAATAAAAACTTACAAGGCATGTGCAAAAGAAATTTGAATCTAATACATATCCTTTATTTATTTATTATTCTTTTGTTGTACTAGTGTATAGATTGTGGATAACTTCAATATTTGAAAAGATGGAGATCAAATTTTATACATTTATATTGAATGGATTTTCACTTTTCAAATTTGATTGCATTTATGTGAGACAATGAGTGATGCATGGTTCGTGTCCGCATGGTGCATCTCTTCAAAAAAAAAAAAAGCGGAAAGAACATTGCATAGAAATATAAAGAACATATTATAGAATTGTAAAGAACATTGTATAGAAATGTAAGGAACATGTTATAAAATTGTAAAGAACATAACGTGCAGTTAAATAATGTTCTTTATCTTCATGTTCTTTGATGATAATGTACTTTTATTTGTGACATATGTTAATTGTTTAATTTGAAATGTTCTTTGAAATTTGTCTTTAGATTATGGTGGTTGAATAAAAATAATGTTCATTACATTATATTATCATTAAAGGTGATAAAAATTTCGGGTCGGGCTGCGCTATAACATAATATCTTGTGTCCAAAAAACCCGAAAAATGTAGTGGGCTTTTCGGCTTTTTTAGGGCCGAGTTTGGATTTTTTTAACTAAAAATGCATTTTTAGGCTTGTCTAAACCCGCCCTATTTTCGGGTTGGATCAGGTCGGGTCGGGTCTGGTCGGGCCGAAGTTGATCACCTCTAATTATCATGTTTTTAATTAATATTACGGATGTTCTTTAGATATATATAAAGAACGTGAAGTTGGATGTTTTTTTACAAAATACGTATATGTTCTTTATAAAACAACTATATGTTCTTTACAATACAGATCTAATTTGGATTTTCGGCTTTTTTTCGGGCCGAGTTTGGATTTTTTAACTAAAAATGCATTTTTAGGCTCGTCTAAACCCGCCCTATTTTCGGGTTGGATCGGGCTGGGCTGGTTAGGGTCGGGCCGAAGTTGATCACCTCTAATTATCATGTTTTTAATTAATATTACAGATGTTCTTTAGATATATATAAAGAACATGAAGTTGGATGTTTTTTTTTACAAAATAGGTATATGTTCTTTATAAAACAACTATATGTTCATTACAATACAGCTCTATGTGATGTTCTTTATGAAAAAGCTATATGATCTTTACAAAACAAATGTATGTTCTTTACTGAACAACGAAATGTTCATTCCGCGTTTTTAAAGAGAAAACGGATGCACGGAGCATCGTGCATCCGCCTCCATAGAAAAAATTTCAGACAGTGAGAGCGAGGAAAAATTTAGTTATTGGTCAGAGTTTTCCTCTCGATTTTAGGAGATCATGTAATTGATTCGATCTCATCACCCGTCCTAATAGCTTTCTAAACACCCAAAAAATTAAAACCCCTTAAAAATAGTGTTAGGGTTTGTTGTGTTTAAACTTGCTACTCGGCAAGGCCTAGGCATAGGCGCAAGTTGAAACTTGAACAAGTCATGGGCAACAAGCTAAGGCACAAGTCACGGACACCAAAAATACATCCAAAAAAAAAAAAAATTGGCACAATGGGTACATCTTGGCTCGTCTTAGGGGAATTTTTGGAGAGACAAGGTATAAACATGAGTCTAAACATATATGAGAAAGAATATAATGAAAGTAATAAAACATTTGTTATTACATAGAGACTCTTGTCTCATCATCATACACATATAACTAGGCAAGTTATAGGTTGTAAACATGCTTAAAAAAAATGCAATTCCAAATCAAAAGTACATATAAATCTTCAAATAGAAAAAAAGGAAGAAAAAAAAAAAAACTACGTTCTAATAACGTTAATTATAGTCTAATTTGATATCCATACAATGTGATCCTCAGGCAAGAAATGGCAAATAGGACAACTTCCACGCTTGACATTAAGAACTTGAAACGCCAAATGTTGTGGATTCCAAGCACTTGTATCTTTATGACAAATAGCCATTGCCTTAGCCTTTGATCCATCCTTGCTAATCAAGGTCACCTTATACGCGGATGTGCCCTTACTCTTGTGGCAATAGAACACGGCATAGGCATACCTTTGCTTGTGGCACACCGCGGCCTCATTATCTTTAGCCACAATCTTCTTTGCTGCAATTGTATAGTTCTTGACCTTGTTGCCAATAATTTTGGCCTCGGTTGACATTGCCTTAACATTCTTCCCTAGAGTGTTTTTCGCGTAATCAACCAAGGACTCCAGGGAAGTGGCACAATACTTTTGCTCCCCTTGGATGCCCTTGTGCTTGCACCCTTCAATTGTTTCCTCGATAACCTTGGCTTCTTCTGTGTTTGGTTCGACTTCAAACTCATGAAGGATGTCAATAATCTTGTTTGTAGAGAAGGGAAGTGTTTTCGCCTTTTCTCTTGGTAAGAAAGTGGCATCATTTGTTCGTTGTTTGAAGTGCAATCTCATCGAGTGTCCAAATTTCATGTCCTTCTCTAAGAAAAACAATGAACGGCCTGGTTCTTCTTGAAATTGTTCATCTGAATTATTGCTAGAATAATTGTTACTACTAGAACTAGAAGTGTTACTACTACTAGAATGTGAATGTGCATATCTATAATCAAATGGATTAAATCCGGGATGTACTCTAACGTAAACAGGCTTCTTTTCGTGGCCTGCATTGACCGTTACTCCTTCCATCCCTACGTTCACGTCGGCTTTTCCTCTTCCAGGCTTCCCTGTGTGGACTCCAATTCCATTCGTCGGCCCTACGTCAACGTCGGTGTGACCGCCACCATTCTTTCTTGTGTGTACCCCGACTCCGGTCATTGAGTCAACGTTCACATCTTGGTCACCTCCTTCGTGTTCGTGGTGCCTATGATGATGTCTGATATGCCTTAAGGCCCTTCCATTGGCGTGGAGGTGAACTCCGCCTTTTAACTCATTTACGTCTTCTCCTATTCACATAAATAAAATATATAAGTTTCAATAAGTTCATATAATATAGACAAATAACGCTACCATCATAAAATTATTAATAAGAAAATCTTATAATAGTATTCTAGAATTTATAATTTTATTTTACAAGATTTGGGGATCTTGCTATTGAATTCCAAGAGGTTGTTTACTTGTTTACAACATGTATTATTTTATAATGTGGTCAAGAAACCCAAGATAAATTTAAAAAAAAATGTTTCTAAGGATGTATGTGTTTGTTACTTTAATTTGTAAGGGTATAACGATCCATGAACTTATGTTTACAAGTTTTATATATGTTAAATTATATCCTAAAATCTTTATCTTATCTTGTACTAAAGACAACTCCATATTATACATGTACTTTTATATATGTATTTCAAGTTTTCAACTATAGATTAATTTAACATATATTTGTATCATTACTATTACAAACGTTTTAATATTGAAGAACAAATACCTGGCTCAGACAATGAAAGCTTAACAGCCTTTGGCATTTCAGTATTTGGCAACATTTTCTTCCAATAAATTTCAGATGGTAGAGATGCTTGGCTTAATACTACACCAATCTGTGGAAAAAATAAATAAATAAATAAAAAGCTTAGCAAGAAAGAATTTTTTTTTTTTTTGCACCATATTATTATTTAAAAAAATATATATCTAGGGGTTTTTTTTATAATATTAAATAGTCATAAAACATTGATAATAAAAATAACTTATATATATATATTACGGAGTAACATACAATGATACAATATTATTGTATTTCAAAAAGCCAATTAAATTACATGCTCAAAAAAATTAGTAAAATGGATTATTATATACTTGTATGGCAATTAGTTAATGAACTTACAGAAAAGAGGGTGAGGATTGGTAGAATATACAAATCCATCAGAATATAAAACTCAACCTTAAAGAAACACAGAATATTAAGTGGAGAATTTTTCTTGCAATTCTTTATGGGGAAAAGAATGAAAGAGAATGATTTTGTATTATAACCAGGTTTTTTTTTTATTTTTTTTTTTTTTTATTTTGGTCTATGTATTATAATAAATTGTAGTTAAAGCTTGTGACTTCTTTTAAATTTTAATTTTTTTTGTTTTTTTGTGTTTTTTTTAAAGGAAGTGAGAGTGAAAATGAATTGAAGTAGCTAAGATTTGATGATACAATAACAGAACTTAGTATATATAAATAAAGTTTGTGAAGCAATTAAAGATGTTGAAAGTACATCTACCACTTGTTTATTATGGGAAAGTTTCAAGAATGAATGCATGGTTAAGGATATGCGAAAATTGTTTTGTTCTATAAATAATATGCATTGGAGGATAATTTTATATGGTAAGAATTTAGATTTAGAAAGGAACCAAAGGAAAACATTTCTTTACGGAAGGGAAACAAATAAAAGATTAAAAGGGGAAATGTCATAAATATTGGCAAGTATTTTTCTAGAATTTTACTTGCTTGTTTGAAAGTATAATATAATAATGTTGTTACATAGCTAACTATAAACAATAGTCAATAGATATATTTGCTAAAACAATATTTTGCTTAATATTTAGCTTAGAAATTATGACAATTTCATAAGTAAGTTTAATACTCCCTCTGTCTCTTATTTGTTTTTTTTTTCCACGAAAATTAAAAAAAGTTTTAATCCCTTAAAATTAATGGATTGAGAGTACAAATATGTATATGGAGTTAGAGAGAGGTAGAGAGAAAGAAAATATAGTTGGTAATTATTGAAAAGAGAGAGAAAAAGTATTGGAAAATAAGGTCAAAGTACATAAAAATAAAAGAAAAATAATGACAACTCTTCAAAAAGAATGTAATTTTGTCAAAAACTACTTTCTTTAAATAGAAATAGGTCATTAATTTTGGCTACCCAGAAATGGAATGTAGGCCACTAAATAAGGGACGGAGGTAGTACTGATTAATGCTTATTCAACTTTTTAAATTGCATACATCATTCAAGTTTTTTTTTAAAAAAATGACATTTTAGAAAATTTAGGAGGTAATTAACATCAGTACAGTATTATATGTTCTTATAACAAATGCATCTTAATTATTCAATATCAAACTAAGTATGCATGTAAATATAGTACATAACAACCAGCCGTAGCCAAATTAAAATACACAAAGTATAACTCTTCAAGCCTCCATATGAAAATAAAACTAATTTCTCATAAGTCTAGTTGTTAGGAACCCATACAATGTGATCCTCGGGCAAGAAGTGGCAAACCGGAACACTTCCTGGCTTCACATTAAGAGCTTGGAAAGCCAAGTGTTTCGGGTTCCAAGCACTCGTATCCTTATGACACACAGCCATTGCCTTAGCCTTTGATCCATCCGCGCCCATCAAGGACACCGTATACGCAGATGTATCCTTAGTCTTGTGGCAATAGAACACGGCATAGGCATACTTTTGCTTGTGACACACTGCGGCCTCATTGTCATTAGCCACCTTTTTTACCGCGGTAATAGTATACTTTTGGACCTTGTCATCAATAGTTTTGGACTCAGTAGACATTGCCTTAACATTCTTCCCTAAAGAGTTTTTCGCGTAATCTACCAAGGACTCCAAAGAAGTTGCACAATACTTTTATTCACCTTGGATGCCATTTTCCTCACACCCTTTGATTGTCTCTTGGATAACCTTAGCTTCATCGGAGTTAGGCTGAACCGAGAACTCCTTAAGTATCGCCGGGGTTTCATCAGAAGAAAAGGGCAACGATTTCACCTCTTCCCTTGGCAAGAAGGTGGCTGCATTAGTACTCCTTGTGAAATGCACGTTCATTGATTGTCCAACTTTCATGTCTTTCTCTAAGAAAAATAAAGCTTTAGTTGGATCATCATGAAGTTGGGCCTCAGAAGCTGCATAATTGTAATTAAACGGGTTTGGGCCTGGGTGTACTCCAACATAAACGGGCTTCTTTTTTGGGCCTGCTTTAACAGTTACTCCTCCTTTGCCAACTCCTACATCTGCTCCTTTTCCGGGCTTTCCTGCGTGGACCCCAACTCCACCTTTTGGGCCGACATGGACGTCAGTGTGTCCTCCATTGGGCTTACCAGTGTGTACTCCAACACCACTTTTTGGGCCAACATTTACATTTGTGTGACCATTGGGCTTTCCTGTGTTTACATTGGCTCCTTTATGAGGCCCAACATTTACTGCGGTTCCTCCTCCTTGCTTGGATCTTGTGTTAACGTGGACCCCACCTTTCCCAACATTTACTGATGTGCTTTCCTCTTCCATCCATTCTACAATTCAAATAAAAAAACATAATGCATACGTTCATATTTAAATCTTCTATGAAGTAAATTAGAATTCTAATACGGAGTAAAAATGAACGGTATGATCAAAGTTGTACATTGACAAGTGTAATTTCAGTTGAATCAACATGGAAAAGGTGAGAGCATACACTATTTAGTGTGGCGGGAGATATTACACTATTTAAAAGTATGTAGTGTTGATTGAATGATTGATACTTCTTGTTAAGGACCTGTTCACTCCAACTTAATTTCAGTTCAGTTCAACTTCAATAAGTTCAGTTCAGTTCAGCTCCTAATTTTCTTCTCTCATAAAATATTCATTTTAGCTCTATTCTATTCAGTTCAGTTTTGTTCAGTGCAGTTCAGCTCCAATCAGTTTAATAAATGTGAACCGGCTCTAATGCTTGAATTTGGTTACTATTCAAAAAAAAACGTGCTTGATTTTAGCCCTTATATTTGTCAATAGGAACTTCCGACGATGATTAATTTGATTATTAGTAATAATAATCAATTATTAATAAGTTAAAATTTATAAATTATATATAGAGTTGATTTAAACAAGTATCCACACGACTGTATATACTAATTATTGGTAATATATTATTAATTTGCCTTATGGTTTGGCTTATAATGACATCTTACCTTCCTACGTACATAAATAGAAATTAGTCAAGCTTGACTTGTTGGTGTAGCTCTAGTTCTATCGTAGTGTCATACTCTACCATATATTGTGGCTAATTTGAAAATATTGTAATAAAAGTTTTTGCCATATTATATTACTAGCTAGTTCTGTCTCTTTCCTCTTTAAATAATCCATTAATTACATCCACTTCTTAATTTCCAAATATATTTTGATCAAATTATTAGAAGTAACATAGTACTTATAGTTCAGTGACATAACTAGCGCACCCGTGTACATAATAGATATTTTATCAGTTAAAAAATACAAATATATATATATAAAAAAAAATAACTAGTCTTTTTTAATGATGAGAGCAATAGAAAACCAATCCATACCAGGCTTAGGCAATGAATTCTTGACAGCCTTTGGCATCTCAGTATTTGGCAAATTTATTTTCCAATAGATTTCAGGTGGTAGAGCTGCCTCACTAACCATCAAAGCAATCTGAAAATAAAAGAAAATCGAAAGTACGAATTAATAAATATTAATAACCAAAAAAATTAAGGTTTTGTTAGTAAATAATAAATGAAATTTTAATCAGTTTTATTAAAAATATTCCAAGATAATTTGAATAAGAAAATCATAATAATCGCAGTTATGATAGGTTGTTAATAGACTAACTATTTTCAATAAAGTTCGACCCAATTATTATACAAAGTATATTATTATAATTTAACATAATATCGCGATATAAAGTGGGTGCTAACAAAACAATAAAATGCATAAAATAGAATACTCCGTAAAAATAAAGAAAAATGAAAAGTAGTTTAGTTTAATGAATCAAACTTACAGAAAGGAAGGCGAGGATTGATAGTAGACGAAACTCCATTTTGAATATTATTACAAAATCTAATAAAGATTCCAAAGAGAGAAATTAAGTTGTATTGTATTAGATGAAGAAAATAAAAGTGAAGGGATCTTGTATTTATAATATGAAATATAGTTATAGTAAGAAATTAATTATGGTATGTAAGTAGTATCTGAATTTTCTTCAAGTGACACATCAACAAAACATTAAATGTAGTCTCAACTAAATCAGTTTGCTAGTAATGAATATGATGGAGCAAAAAACAGATGGGAGCTAGGAAGTTTGTATTTTTTGAAAAATATAGTGTCACATTTAAATGATTTGTGGGTTGATGATTTAATTTTGTGAATGTAATGTAAGGCGGCTTATTTCATATTCTTTGGACTTTATAAGATGGATTTGAAGTTTTAACGACCAACTACTAAAGATTTATTAATAGGACAACACTACACTAGGATTGTAGGAGGTTGGGGTGTTACAAGTTTGTATGTTATTCTTGAAGGAATAATGTGTGTTTAGACTACATACTAGCGGTTTCTTTCTTTATTTGCATTGATTAGAGGTGGCAAGCTAGGATACATGGCATGACATGATGAGTATGAACACAAAACTATTACCACAATTTTAAAATATGGACACGTGTACGGTAAAAAATATAAAATACATATAATACATTTGATAAATGCATATATCACTATAGATTTTGTGTGTGTGTCTGACACATATTTGACATTTTTGAAACTGAGAGATAGTTTAAGTGGTTAGAGCTTCCTTTCTGATTTCAAGAGATCTTAAAATCGATTCTCACCCTGTCCTTGTGGCTTTCTAAATATCCCTCCAAAATATATATTTCTGTGTCGGTGTCAGGCATCAGTTTGGTACATGTACTGCACTTGGATAGTTGGATGTAATATAAGTGCTTTCTATATGGCAAATACTTCATACGTTGTATGGTGTTCACATTCTTCGCATCATATCTGATAGATTTGGGTTATATTTAGGTGATGAGATATGCAAAACATGTTAGGACTTAATGAGATGCGGTGATATTATTCTATTATAGGATATTTAAAATTGTGTTTACAAGGTTAATTAATTGGAATTAATCTGCTACGAGGTTAGTATCATGCACAATAGGAAGGATATAATAAAGGTACGTACAACAACCATGAGATTGAAGCCTTTCTTTTCTTACAATCTTTAAATGCTACCGAGTTTAAGTCTAGTATAACTAATTCATGGTTGGTTGAACAAAAAGCTAGAGTTGCCCTCTTTAATTTCTCTCCACCATGTATTTCCTTTTATGTAAATTGCACAACTAAAGAACGACATCATTTATAATCAGTTACGAAATATTTGGATAAATTATTTACTACGTATTTTCTTTTCACCTCCTTTAAGATATATACGTATTTTTTGTTAATAAAATCGGTTTTAAATTAAGTAATTTGTTTGTTTTTTGTAATTTGTTTATTGGATCGCACATATTATGGAGTGCATTATTATTCTATCACTAATTAATTACTACGTACGAACTATGAAGTATACATTATTGCATGCATATAAATCTAGTGCTTAGTAATTAAGTGGACCATTATCATTTGGTTTGCTCCTACCTTTTACCAATCTATTAATTGAAGGAGTAATCTTTATTGCATTAACCAATAGAGAAGACACAAATTTTAACAAACAACTACTTAATTTATTGTGCTGTGCTACAATGTCAACAAAGATACATACTCGTAGGATTGAATATACTCCTCTTATTTTCTTGCTCGTAATTATCTAACTTAAGGGAGAAAATATAAATAGATATCATGACTACTCTTACAATATGATCTACTTTAATTGGTGTTCTTTCGTCTTAACAAATAATAAAACAGACAATAATCAAAGACTCGATCATTAAGCTAAAAAAAAATAATAATAATAAGACTATTAGAGAATAGAGATACTATCCCATAGTAGTAGTACATTTTTGTGGTTCAACTAACATAGAACAAGACAAGCTTAGAAAAGTAATAAGGTACATTTTTTTGAGGAAAGTACTAAGGTACATAGTTGTACATCCTTTTTAGTATAATATCCGGCAATTGTTTTTTGGGGGTATGTAGCACACTCCAACATCATTATTGAGTCTCTTCCAATCAATAGGGAGATCAGACTACGTGCACGGTGCACCAATGTTAAGGGTATCGTGTATCAAGTCACAAGACAATGTGACCATGTTTGGTTTTTGCAACCTAAGCTAGCTAGCCGTGATCAAGCCCATGCCTTCATTGCCATATCTTCTATGGCATGACAAGTCTCATTAAGTTTACAAAGGACGACGGCAAAAGTTGTTTTATGATTGGTTCTTGAGTTGCATTTGCCATTGCAGTGTGAACTGTGAAGTATATGAAAGTTTCGTTCAACATCAAGGTCCCTAATTAAGAGAATGGTTTTTTTCCTTTTTTTTTTTTGGATACAGAGACTAGAGAGAGACATAATATATAACAACTCATGTAGGTGAAATCTGATCACACGTCGGTACCACCTCTCAAAACTTTAATTAAGATCTTCGATCATCCACAGAGAACGGGTTTATTAGTATTTTCTTGTGTTGTATAAACTAGGAATTATATATGTATGTCCTAGGTGTTTTATATGTAGCACATACATAACACATTGTTTAGTTTAACATCAGTTAAGACTACGTGTAAAAATAATAATAAAAATTGACGGCCTTCATCAATCCTTTTTTTTTTCCACTTTGACTTTTTTTTTTATTGTTATTTCTTTGTTTCACCAATATATATATATATATATATATATATATATATATATATATATATGGAGAAATAATAAATTTTTAAAAATATCAAGAGGCCAATAAGCTCTATCTCTTTACTTTGTCTCAAAAAGCTTAGCTTAATTATTTTTATATTACCAATAAGTGGAGCTAAGGCTACCAATATACTTATTCATCTACTCATCTTAGATCTTAGGGGTGCCTGTTTCGGGGCATTTTAAACTCCTATTACTGACAAATGAGATACCAATAAGTGGCCTAATTACAAGCCAGCACATGGCATCTTATTCAGCTATAAAAGGCCAATACAAGCATGACCTGTGATCTAAGAGAGACAACAAATAAAGAAGGGCTTAAAGCCCATAAAGGAAGAATATCTAGTATAAAGCATAAAGTAAATTGGAAATTCATTGTTTTACATGTGTTTAGATTGTAGTACCATCCAAGTGTTGTGTTGATAAGTATATTAGGTGACTCGTACTTCGTAGCTTTGTCCGCCCGATCGGGCGGACATTGCCCGGTCTGACCGGGCGGAAGAAGAAGAGGTGCCTGGCAAATTCGTTGAAGAAGCTGCTCTCGCGCCCGACCGGGCGAGCCTTCGCCCGACCGGGCGAGCCTTCGCCCGATCGGGCAGACCTTGCCCGGTCTGACCGGGCGGTGGGGGTTGGATACGTTGAAGCATTCGTATGGAGTTTTCTTCTCGCGCCCGATCGGGCAGACCTTGCCCGGTCTGACCGGGCGGAGAAGGAAAAATACGGAACGCGGATTTTGCGGTTTTAGGTTATCTTATTTTATTATCTTTTTGCCCAAGTATCTTTTAATTAGGGATTAATATAAAACCTCCCTAATATCAGTATTAGGGTTAAGAGAGACAGAGTGAAAGCCGTTCTTGAGAAATACAAGAATCATCTTTGTAATCTTTGCAGTTTATAGTGAAATCATTCGATCTCGGTGCCCGTGGACGTAGCTATCACATCGATAGTGAACCACGTAAATTCTTGGTGTTGTTCTTATTGTTTGCATTGAATTTCTTTATTGTTTTCTTGTTTGTTTACGACCTTTGCTTCCGCTGTCGCACAACAATTGGTATCAGAGCTCAGGTTCAATCCTTGGAGAGTTTCTTGAAGATAACAATGGCAGGAGATTCAACAATAAGAATTGAGAAGTTTACCGGGAAAAATAGTTTCGGGCTATGGCAAATTAAGATGAAGGCTCTGTTAAAACAACAGCAGATATGGCGTCCGTTGGCTCCAAAGAGTACTACTTCGGAGTCAGGAGACGGACCGACTGACTCGCAGTTAGAAGTTATGGAAGAGAAGGCACACTCTACCATATTACTTAGTCTTGATGATCAAATCATCACGGAGGTTGCTGATCAGGAAACGGCGGCTGGATTGTGGCTGAAGCTGGAGTCATTGTATATGACTAAGTCGTTGACCAACAAATTATTACTGAAACAGCGGTTGTTTAGCCTCCGGATGCAGTCAGGTACTTCCTTACGGGAACATCTAGAAAAACTTAACTCTATTTTGCTTGATTTACGTAATTTAGATGTTAAAATTGATGATGAGGATGCTGCGTTGATTTTACTTGTATCTCTACCGTCTAGCTTTGAGAATTTTGTAGAGTCTTTTGTTGTTGGTAAGGATTCTATAACCTTAGAAGAAGTGAAGGCAGCACTTCATACTAGGGAACTCAGAATGAAAGCTACGAGTGATAATGGGGATAATGGTAGTGGGTTATTTGTTAAGTCCGGAAAGTCTAAAAAGAATAAGGGGTTTAACAAGGGGAACAATGCTGGGTCGGGTGCTGGAAACGGCAAGGATGGATCTAGTAAAACTACTACTAAAACATGTTATTACTGTAAAGAACCGGGTCACTTTAGGAATAATTGTCCGGTGAGGAAAAACAAGTCCCAGGCTGCTGTAGTTGAAGAGAAACCGAATGAGAGCTATAATTCAGAGGAAGATTTAGCATTAGTCAGTTCTGCTAGGTCTGATGATTTATCTGATAACTGGGTTCTAGATTCGGGGTGTTCGTTCCATATGTGTCCACGTCGAGATTGGTTTGATACATATGAACCTCGCAATGGGGGTATGGTTATAGTCGGTAACAATGCTCCATGTAAGGTCACAGGTATTGGTTCCATGAGGTTGAGGACTGTTGATGGGCGGAGGTTAACTTTGACTAATGTACGGCATGTTCCTGCTTTAGGAAAGAATCTGATTTCATTGGGTACCCTGGATGAATTGGGGTACAATGGTGTGTTTTCAGATGGGGAGTTGTGTATTTTCAGAGGTTCTGAGTTGGTACTTAAGGGTATCAAAAGGAACACCCTCTATGTTTTTGAGGGTGTTACACTGCCTAGTTCTGCGGTTTGCGCATCTGTATCTCACCAGGAGATGACTAAGATTTGGCACATGAGGCTTGGTCATATGGGGGAGAAGGGGATGCAGCTATTGTCCAAGAGGGGTCTTCTATCCGGGGTCAAGGTTGCCAACCTTGAATTTTGTGAGCATTGTGTGTTTGGTAAGAAACACAGGTCAAAGTTCAGCAAGGGTGCTCACATTACTGATGCAGTGCTCGATTACATCCATTCAGATTGCTGGGGTCCATCTAGAGTTGAAGGTATGGGAGGTTACCACTATTTTGTGTCATTTGTTGATGACAAGTCCCGATACACATGGCTTAGGTTGCTTAAGTCAAAGGATGAGGCCTTCAAAGTTTTCAAGCAATGGAAAGCTTTGGTGGAAAATCGACAAGGAAGGAAGATCAAGAAGCTACGAACGGACAATGGGCTAGAGTTTTGCAAAGACGAGTTTAATCAGTTCTGTGCAGATGAGGGTATAGGTCGGCATCATACTGTCAGGAAGACACCACAGCAGAACGGTGTAGCAGAACGGGTTAATCAGACACTGCTAGAGAGAGTTCGATGCATGCTCTCTAATGCAGGGCTTGGGAGGAGGTACTGGAGTGAAGCTGTGTTAACAGCTTGTTATGTCATTAATAGGGGTCCTCATTCTGGAATTGATTCCAAAATTCCGTTTGAGATCTGGAGTGGTAAGTTGCCTAATTTTTCGAATTTGAAGATTTTTGGTTGTGTTGCTTATTATCATGTTATTGAGGGTAAGCTGGATCCACGAGCCAAGAAGGGGTGTTTTGTTGGGTACGGGGATGGTGTGAAGGGGTTTAGAATTTTTTCACCTTCGGAGGGTCGGGTCATTCTTAGTAGGGATGTTACTTTCGATGAAAACACCATGTATTCAATTAAAAATGCAGAGATTTCAGATTTGAGAAGGGAAGGAGACAATTTATTACAGACAGATGGGGTACTTGAGGTACATCAGTCTACCATTGCTGATTTACCTCGGGTACAATATATTGATGATGATGCTGATGTTCCAGTGCCGGGTACTCCTGAACCTGAGATTACTCCTACTCATTCTAACTCTGGGGATGAGGTGGAGCAATCTAATCAGGGGTCATCTAGTCAACCTGACACCATTCTTGAGATGCCTAAACGAGTTATCAAGAAGCCTGTTAGATTGATTGAAGAGATGGAGGGAAGAAATTGCTGTGTTGATGCGATGACAGGTTATGCATTGAGTGTAGCTGATGATGTAGAGTCATTTGAACCTGCCACATATAAACAAGCAATTAGTTGTAGTGAGTCTGCGCAATGGCTTGCCGCAATGGGTGAAGAGATGCAGTCTCTTTACAAGAACAGAGTGTGGGAACTGGTAAAGGTACCGGAAGGGAGGAAGCTTGTGGGTTGTAAATGGATTTACAAGAAGAAAGAAGGGTTGTCGGAAACTGAGCAAATACGTTTTAAGGCTAGGCTAGTTGCTAAGGGGTTCAGTCAGGTAGAAGGGGTTGACTTTGTTGAGATATTCTCACCTGTGGTTCGACATACTTCTATCCGTGTGTTATTGTCAATTGTAGCACATTTTGATCTTGAGCTGGAGCAGTTGGATGTTAAAACGGCTTTCCTTCATGGCGATTTGGAGGAGGAGATTCTGATGAAGCAGCCCGAAGGATTCGAAGTTCCTGGAAAGGAACACTATGCCTGCAGATTGCTAAAGTCATTGTATGGACTTAAGCAATCCCCCCGACAATGGTACAAAAGGTTTGATTCTTTTATGGTTTCACAAGGTTTTGACAGGAATTCATATGATTGCTGTGTGTATCATAGTAAGCTGGATAATGGTTCCATGATTTATCTTTTGTTATATGTTGATGACATGTTGGTTGCCACAAAGAATAAATCTGATATTGCTAGATTAAAGGAGATGCTTAACTCGGAGTTTGACATGAAAGACTTGGGTGCAGCTAGGAAGATTTTGGGTATGGAGATCTACAGGGATCGGGCTAGAGGTAAGCTTTTCTTGACTCAGAAAAGCTACATTGAAAAGATTTTGTCTCGTTTTGGGATGGAAAAATCGAAGCCTATAAGTACGCCAACTACTGTTAGTTGTAAGTTGTCTTTGTCTATGTCACCTCAATCAGAGGAGGAGTTGTCTTATATGTCTAGAGTTCCATATGCAAACGCGGTTGGTTGTTTGATGTATGCTATGGTCTGTACTAGGCCGGATATTGCGCATGCTGTTAGTGTTGTAAGCAGGTTTATGGCTCGACCTGGGAGGGAACACTGGCAAGGGGTGAAAAGGATTTTTCGCTACCTGAGAGGGACAACTGATATTGGTCTTGTGTACGGGAATGGTAGGGAATGCTTGGTCACTGGGTACAGTGATTCTGATTATGCAGCTGATGTGGATACCAGGAGGTCTGTGACTGGTTATGTGTTCACTTTGGGTGGTTCTGTGGTTAGTTGGAAGTCTACATTGCAGTCATCAGTTACGTTGTCAACTACTGAAGCTGAGTATATGGCTCTAACTTCTGCAGCTAAGGAGTCTATTTGGCTCAAAGGCCTAGTAGGTGAACTGGGTATTGCACAGGATTTTGCTACAGTGTATTGTGATAGTCTAAGTGCGATTTGCTTAGCTAAAGATCAAGTACACCATGATCGGACGAAGCACATTGATGTCAGGTATCATTTCTTGCGTACTGACAAGAGGATTAAGGTGAAGAAGATTGGGACTGCTGACAACCCGGCTGATTTCTTCACTAAGCCTGTTCCGTTTAGCAAGTTTAAACATTGCTTAGACTTGCTAAATATTGATTACTACGTGATGTAGTAGGCCCTGAGGGGCGAAGTTGGGGAGCTCCTGGTGTAGGTGTGTTGGCCTTAAGGTGGAGCTTGCCCGGGGCTTGTGATGCAGGTGGAGCATTATGAGTTGTTATACTTGGAGACGAGTATGTGATGGGTCTTGGTTGAAGACTTATCGGGATGTATGGCTTATGCATGAGTCCTGCATCGGGTTTGGCTTGAGATGTTTTTTCACTATGTCTTGATGGGGTCGTTTGCTGACTACGAGTTCTCGTCAAGGTGGAGATTGTTGATAAGTATATTAGGTGACTCGTACTTCGTAGCTTTGTCCGCCCGATCGGGCGGACATTGCCCGGTCTGACCGGGCGGAAGAAGAAGAGGTGCCTGGCAAATTCGTTGAAGAAGCTGCTCTCGCGCCCGACCGGGCGAGCCTTCGCCCGACCGGGCGAGCCTTCGCCCGATCGGGCAGACCTTGCCCGGTCTGACCGGGCGGAGAAGGAAAAATACGGAACGCGGATTTTGCGGTTTTAGGTTATCTTATTTTATTATCTTTTTGCCCAAGTATCTTTTAATTAGGGATTAATATAAAACCTCCCTAATATCAGTATTAGGGTTAAGAGAGACAGAGTGAAAGCCGTTCTTGAGAAATACAAGAATCATCTTTGTAATCTTTGCAGTTTATAGTGAAATCATTCGATCTCGGTGCCCGTGGACGTAGCTATCACATCGATAGTGAACCACGTAAATTCTTGGTGTTGTTCTTATTGTTTGCATTGAATTTCTTTATTGTTTTCTTGTTTGTTTACGACCTTTGCTTCCGCTGTCGCACAACATGTTGCATTCAGAATCTATCTCCCGAGGGAATCCATGCCCCACTTTTAGGTATTCAAAAAATCCCCAAAACATCAAATTAAAGTACATTTTTTAATATTAGTATACAATGAAAATATTGTTGATTTCTATCATTAAAAGCTTTCAAAATGTAATTTTATATACTTGCAGGCAATGACTAAGAGAAAATTTAAAGGACCCTATATATTTTTGAATTTAACCTAGCATTTGAATGACTATTAGAGCATATAATCCTATTTCTTTTTCAACACCTATATCATGACTAAAAAATAAAAAAACATACTAATTTTTTTTTTTTTTTTTAATTCTTATGCTTTAATATAACACTAGGTAACAATTGATATACTCTTTCTAAAAAAAATTAGTACATATATAAATTAAGAATAAGACATCGATATAAATGAATGAACCAATAATATTACAAAAAATGTAAATTTATTGAATCATAAAATAGTAGCTTAAATATATTGAACGAAATCACAATGTCCAAAATATTATTCCAAACCCTAGGGTATAAGTATGTAGAAAAGTAGGGTTGAACATAATTATTGGCGCATGCAACCAACAATGCAAGAGCGATCAGAGGTATATAATACAATTATATGCCCCTTGTATTGTATTTTAATCTATTCAGCTTTAACTAATAGTTTTCTAGATGTTTGGGTAGACGGCGGGCTAGTTAAATCTTGGCATGTGCATTTTCCTGAGGATAAATTTCTTGAAGAATTGTGTGATGAATGGCTTGATGATCTTGATTCATGACTAGAGAAATGAGTTGAACTAGAAGAATGCTTTGATCTTTCAGTTGAAGATTTATCATAGGCTTTGGTTGATCCATGTGTCAAAGTTGCTCCCGAATGGTGTCCTGTGGCTTGGTTGAGAGACTTTGAAGTATTACCATAGGACGACTGGTTTAATCCTTTTGTGGAAGATTTTTCAGATCCTTGGTTATATGATTGACCTGAAGAATTATATAACGAATTATTAGATTCTTTTCCATTCCCAAGATTTGAACCTTGTGTTGAAGAATTGTCGGTTGTTTTGGCTAGAAGACTTACCTGAATTTTTATTATAGGTTAGTCCTGATGATTCACTTACTCCTTTCTTTGAAGATTTTCTTGATAAATCTTCTGAGGTTGTGCCTCCTTTATTACTTGATCCTTGTTCTACAGTGTTCTTTGCTGATTGATTGACTCCACGTGTTGAAGAATCGTTACTATTGTTGCTCGAAGTTTTTCCAGAAGATTCACTAGCTTTATTGCCTGGTGTATAAAATTGGTTATATTTCGTATTATAATTATTTTCCAAATAAATGACTAAAATTATATGATAAAGATATAATAGATTGAAGATTAACCTGACATTTGTTGACCTTCTCCGTGTTGAGAAGATTTCTCCGACGATTTGCCATATGACTTGTCAAAAGCTTGGCTAGGTGTTTTTCCTAAAGACTCGTTTGAATTTTGATTAGTTGATTCTTTGCCTGAGGAATTTTCTGAAGACTTCTTAGATCCATGATCTAAAGACGTTCTAGATGAATTAGTATTTTGTTCAGATGAGTTTTCACAAGATCCGTTTGATCCTTTACCAATGCCTTGGTTTGTGTTGGCTTTTGACTCTTGACCTATACTTGAATTATGTGTTGTGCTTGAGTCGTATTGGCTTGAATTTTTTACATGACTTTGGCTTGATCTTTTATCTTGGTTTGAGCCTGAAACACCTATATTCACACCATTATTAGAGCTTGTAGATCCTCCACCTTGTATATAATGGTTAACATTGCTATTTAGTTGCGATTTACCTTTGCTTGAGCTTTTATATTGGTCAGAGCCCGAAACTCCCATATTTACACCATTATTGGAGCTTGTAGATCCTCCACCTTGTTTATAATTGTTGGCGTTGCTATCCAATTTTGATTTATCTTGGCTTAAGCTTTTATGTTGGTTTGAGGACGAAACTCCCTCATTCACACCATCATTGGAGGTTGTAGATCCTCCACTTTGTTTATTCTTGTTAACGTTGCTATCCAATTGTGATTTACCTCGGCTTGTTCCTTTATTTGAACTTCCACCATTTACACCATAGTTAGAGCCTACAGAACTTTCAGAACTTTTATCCATATTCCCTTCACCTGAACCTCTTACATTTCCACCTGTATTGACTCCTACATTAACTCCAATATGTTTGTCAAAATTAGAATTGCCTCCAAATTGTGCATTACCTCCTGATTTCACATTAACTTGCGATTTCCCGTGGCCTTCGAATCCCCCTCCAATACGTTTGTCAAAATTAGCATTGCCTCCAAATTGTGCATTACCTCCGGATTGTACATCAACTTGCGATGTCCCATGGCCTCCGAATTTCCCTCCAATATGCTTGTCAATATTAGCATTGCCTCCTAAGTGTGCATTACCTCCGAATCCGCCTCCAATATGTTTGTCAAAATCACCATTGCCTCCTAATTGTGCATTACCTTCGAATCCGCCTCCAATATGTTTTTCAAAATTACCATTGCCTCCAAATTGTGCATTACCTCCAAATCCGCCTCCAATATGTTTTTCAAAATTACCATTGCCTCCTAATTGTGCATTACCTCCTGATTGTACATTAACTTGCGATTTTCCATTGCCTCCGAATCCCCCTCCAATATTTTTGTCAAAATTACCATTGCCTCCTAATTGTGCATTACCTCCGAATCCGCCTCCAATATGTTTTTCAAAATTACCATTGCCTCCTAACTGTGCATTACCTCCTGATTGTACATTAACTTGTGATTTTCCGTTGCCTCCGAATCCCCCTCCAATATTTTTGTCAAAATTACCATTGCCTCCTAATTGTGCATTACCTTCGAATCCGCCTCCAATATGTTTTTCAAAATTACCATTGCCTCCTAATTGTGCATTACCTCCTGATTGTACATTAACTTGCGATTTTCCGTTGCCTCCGAATCCCCCTCCAATATTTTTGTTAAAATTACCATTGCCTCCTAATTGTGCATTACCTCCGAATCCGCCTCCAATATGTTTTTCAAAATTATCATTGCCTCCTAATTGTGCATTACCTCCTAATTGTACATTAACTTGCGATTTTCCGTTGCCTCCGAACCCCCCTCCAATATTTTTGTCAAAATTACCATTGCCTCCTAATTGTGCATTACCTCCGAATCCGCCTCCAATATGTTTTTCAAAATTACCATTGCCTCCTAGTTGTGCATTACCTCCTGATTGTACATTAACTTGCGATTTTCCGTTGCCTCCGAATCCCCCTCCAATATTTTTGTCAAAATTACCATTGCCTCCTAATTGTGCATTACCTTCGAATCCGCCTCCAAATCCACCTCCAATACGTTTGTCAAAATTAGCATTACCTCCAAATTGTGCATTACCTTGCGGTGTCACTTGGCCTCCGTATCCGCCTCCAATTCCACCTCCAATATGTTTGTCAAAATTAGCATTGCCTCCAAATTGTGCATTGCCTCCAAATCCGCCTCCCCCTCCACCTCCAACTGAAACTTCCTTACTTCCACCTGCATTGAATCCTCCTCCTAATTGGTGATTGAAGCGAAAGTTGCCACCTAATTGACCTTGAAAAAAAAAAAGAACAAAGATTTAGATGTGTTAATATCACCTAAAATCAATATAAATGTTTGTGATTTGTAGTAAATAATACAACTAAATCTTATAGGACCTTATAAATTACAATATTTTTTTAACTGAATTCATAACTTCCATTTTTTTTTAAAACCTCATAATTTCCATTTAAACCTGCTTGTAAATTAAAATGCGAGGGAAAATAAATTAGGGGAGTAACAAGTAATTAAATAAAGTAATTAAACATATTTTCACTAATTCTTACCTCCATGATGGAGGCCCCCTCCTAATATGGCTGGAATAAGAAATGTTGCTTCGGCAACTGTTATTGCAATCTACATAAAGTCGACAAAAAAATTTAAGAAATTAGTAAATACAAAGAAGAAGTAACTAATTATATCATTAACAAAAAAAAATAAAAAAAAAATAAAGAAGAAGATAAAGAGCATTACATAAAGAATAGCAGTGATCTTTAGGAAGTAAGACGCCATTGAATTTATTCTAAATGATCAAATTGTATACGAAAAATTGAAGAAGAATAACACTATTCTTTTTATATTTTCTACTTTTTTTTTTCTTGTAATTTTTATTTAATAAATGAGATGATATTAAGGTAAGAAAATTCAATTTTTTTTTTTGATTGTGAGATAGAGAATTAGGATGGGGGTATATAAAGGCATTGGGAAAAATGAGATGAGTGATTCTCCACCATACGTTAATTTGCGGAAAGTTTTAGGATGGATGCATGGCTAAGACTACAGTGTGATTTACAAAGAAATGTAACTGTATTTTTACTCAATTTAGTAATTTAACTGAAAATAGCTATTGATTTTTAGAGTTAATGAGTAAAATGGAGAGCAAAAAAATTGGGAAACTACAACTAATTCAAAGAAGAAATTCCAACAGTTGGGTAAGGGTGAGATATTATTATGGGGTGAATAACACGTAAAGAACGAATAAAGAAAAAATAAAATTCAAATTGTGTAAAGTAAAGTGTATTTTAATTGGATTTATGAAAACTTTATTTTCTACTTGGTATGAATTTAAATAATTTGTATAAGAAATTATTTTTTAGATTAGTGTATAAGATGTTTATTTTTCCTTGCCTAGCTAATTATTCTCGTTCCAAATACCAATTCATGCATAAATAATGTTGCTTGAATCTACATTTAACATTTTATTAACTTGTCATGTGGTTCCTAGGCCATGACCATTTGATATAATCATATAAAATTAACTTGACAAGTCAATGATCATGGTAAACTAAATACCACCTCTGTTTTTTATTATTTATAATAAAGGGATATTATTAAAAAAATATTATAAATAATAAGAAACGGAGAACTCGTCGTTATTAATCTTACATCAAAAAGTTAATTATTAGGTATAAAATATTGTGTAAATTTGTAATACACTGGTGCACGTGACGAAGTATTCAAATGAGTAGTACTTTTCAACTCTTGGATTACAAAGAGCTAGACACTCCACTACCACCACTGTGACTAGAGGTGTCAATTCGGATAACAAAATGGAGTTTGGGTCAGGTCTATTCGGATCGGATATGTTCGGATAAATTATCCTTTTAACTCGGATCGGGTCGGATCGGGTCAAATTCGGGTCATGGTCTATCGAGTCCGGGTCGGATACGGGTCGGGTCAACTTCATATCGATTCACTTTCGGTTCGGATATATTTGGATCGGGTTTAGCTGGGTAACTTCGGGTCGGATGAATTTGGGTCGGATTGATTTCAGTTCGGATGATTTCGGTTCGGTCAAGTTCGGTTCGGTCAATTTCGGTTCAATTCCTTTTTGTGTTTGGCTGGAATTTGGTCGAGTTGACCAAATTCATATCCAATTAAGGTTATTTTTAAACTAGAGATATTGTTTAGTTTTTACCTTATTATTGGGTCAATATGATTATTAATAATTACGAAGCACGAAGTTTTAGTTTTCTCATTTGATCAAGTTATGTGTAATTTTTATCTTTGAGGAAAATTGAGATTGAATAATTATCGATAACTTATCATACCTTTATAAGTGAGAAGTGAGACCGAGCTAGTGATATATTGACGAATAATAGTTACATATGGTGATATATACAAAAAAGTATGACATTTTTTTTAGGTTATTACAAGTTTACAACTCTTCATCAATTGTACAATCATATGAGGCTATGAGTTCTGTACTATTAGTTTAGTTTATTACTGATTCAATTTTTTTTAAAGATATTTGTTAGAGTTGTTAGAATTACTTTATTACTAATTCAATTTGTATATTAAAAACTTGACATTATACATATTGATAGTTAATTGTTACTATGTAAATTCTTTTTATTTAAGCATAAATTATTGCATATGTATGTAGTGAGTATATAACCGTGCGATGTATAACGCCTATAATTCTACAATAATGCACAATTGTACTCCGCATTTTTAACCAATAACTTCAGTTTTATCAATTTAACATATTTCCAACAAGTTTAAAGTAATATTAATTAGTATATTACGAATCATATGAGTTATCAAACTAAACATTAAATAATCTATAATATACAATAATTAAGTCTATAAGGGTTGTGTTCTATTCATCTGATTTTCACTAACCTGACTTATCTTAACTTACCTGAACTTATATAAACTTACTAGACCTTATTGAAACTTATTATTTTAGTCTTAATTTGTACTTGGGTAACCTTATTAGAACTTATTAAATATGAAGTGAACTTATCTGAACTTATCACACCTGAAATCGTAAGTGAAAATAAGGTGAACAGAATAGACCCTAAGTTATGACAATATATATACAAAAAATGTAGTATATGAAATGAAATTATATCACGAGTTCAGTTAGCAGGAAAATAAAGCACAAATATACAATCTATGTTGATAGTGAAAATAATAGAGAGTGTAATTACGGATTTCTTAATTGGTAATAATAATACTTTTGGTACCTCTTAATTATGTTTATTAATTGGTTGTAAGTGTCAGAGAAAAGAATTATTAGTTCATAAAATATAATAGAATGGGAGGAAATTCATTAAAAATGACAATAGGCTTTAGGGAGCATTTAACTAGAGCTTTACAAGCAAATCAATTAACTCCCGCTTAATGTTTAGGTTTATTAGATCTTGTGGCATTTATTAAAGCTTAGAAAGTAAATTAATATAATTGATATGTACATGAAGTAAACTAGACTCCGGATTATTTCTTTATAGTCAAAAAGTTAACTTATTAATAATTAGTAAATATATAGTATAAGAACTTGAATAAAAAAAGTAAATAATTAATTATGATCAGGTTAAATTCGGATCGGGTAAAAATCAAATCGAGTTAAAATCGGACCGGGTTAATAACAGTTCGGGTCAAAACAGATCGGATTAGATCGGTTATTTTTCGGGTCAATTTCGGATCGGGTTGAGCTCGGGTCGGGTCAAATCGGTTCGATTTGAGTTCAGGTCGGGTCAAATCGGATTTGGATTGAGTTCAGGTCGAATCAAATCGGTGCCGGATTAAGTTCAGATCGAGTCAAGTTCGGATTCGGGTTGAGTTCAGTTCGGTTACAGATCGGGTTTGGGTCTTGAATTTCTCGGATCAAATCAGATCGATTACAGTTCGAAACGGATAATTTTTTTCGGGTGTGAAATTAGGCAAAGTGGGGTGAAATTAGGCAAAGTGGGGTGTAATTAGGAAAATAGGGGTCATGTGCGTCGCACACGTGTAAAACACGTGGTCAACGTCGGAAAGTGGGTTTTGGCTGTCTTGAACAAAAAAAAATTTAAAGGTTTTTTTGGACAAAAAAGTCCCTTTAAAAGGTTTTTCATGACAAATTTTCCTATGGTTAATCATAGTAACGAAGTGTGTGACTTACTGAATTGGGTAATGAAAAATAAGAGAAATTGTTGTAGTAGAGGTTTATCAATTACATATTACTAAAAACGAATCTAAGGAACGCTTGACGATGCATTATTTAAAATATAAGTATTATATAAAAGGTTGCATTTAGATTATGACTTTTATTTTTTTATAAAATTTAAAGTAAACTTCGTGAAATATCAACTTGCACATTTTAACTACTCTGTATTATATATTTAAATATTAATACAAAATAATATATTTCATGCGGTTTAAAATTGATCGAATTGATTCATTTTTTAAAAAATATATAATTATTATATTTTTATTATAATTATTCAGCATCCGTGCATAGTACGGGAATTAACCTAGTTAACTTATTAAGTGCGAAACATAATGATACTTAGTGTTTTTAAATAGCAATTTAATGTAATTAATACTTCCTCCTTTATAGTATTATTTTAATGATAATTAGACTTTTGCGATAAACATAATCACTTCTGATTTACCGTATATTTTAGGGCATGTTCACATTTACTGAACTGAGATGAGCTGAAGAGAACTGAACTGATTGGAGCTAAACTGGACTGAACTGAATAGAGCTTAAATGAATATTTTATGAGAGAAGGAAATTAGGAGTTGAACTGAAATGCACTGAACTCATTGGAACTGAACTGAAATTAAGTTGAATGAAGAGGCCCTTAATATGTATTATATGAATTTTAGTCATTCGGCGCTTTGTTAGATTCGTCTCTTTATATACCTTCATTATTTTTTTGACGGAATAATATACCTTCATTATGGTGACTTGTTAGATTCGTCTCTTTATATACCTTCATTATTTTTTTGACGGAATAATATACCTTCATTATGATGACTTGTTAGATTCGTCTCTTAATATAATTTCATTATGTCATTTTTTTTTCTTTTTTAATAATTTTAACTACGAAGTATTATATAACTATTATTTCAAAAATTAATTATATAATTAAAGATATATCTTTAACATAAAATGTTTTAGAATGCGTAATTTCATTCTTATTACAAAATTACTAGAACGTAAGAAAAATTTATATATTATTATAGTTAGAGGTGGCAATGAACCGCCCAGGTCTATTTTATAATACATGGATCTCTAATTTTTGGATGCGGCGGAAAAGAATCCGGATTCAATTTTTAATAAACTGGACCTAAATCCAGAATCGATTTGAATTCAACCCATGAATTCGACCCATGAAATTCAACCCATGAATTCGACCCATGAATTCACTATTTTAATTTTTTTGATATCCTATTTTTTAGATATAGATCCGGTGGAATGATGAAAGGCAAATGCCAAAAACTTTATTTTTTCTATGGAACCCGTCATTTAGGTGCTGTTTTTATAATTCTTCTTCAAAAAAAAAAAAAAAAAAAAAACGGTGCTGTATTTTTAACAAATTTAATTTAAGGTAATATTTGACAAAAAAAAATAATTAAAGTATATGGTACCACTGTCACAAATAATAAGCTTAAAAAACAAGGTATATTATAAGAATTTTGCCTTTTTTTTTTTATTATAATTTATTGCGAGAACTGTAAACGCGCAAAAAAGGGCAATAATATAAACATGAGTTGATCCTAAGTTTTGGGTATCACCCGCTTCCCAAGATTTTAACCAACAAAGATACACCCTTGGTTTTTATCTAAGTGCCCCAACTTGACTTTGTAACTATTCACATATATTGTTTTGACTTTTGACCAATGTTTGTGGTTTATATGTAGGATAAAATATAATTAGTGAATACTTGTTAGAATCGTCTTAAAAAATGATTTTCAAATATCAATTTTTTTTTTAATTGTTATTTAATAGGGCATTGGCAAATATGCCGGCCAAACTATGACACTTAAATAAAAATAGAGGGAGCCGTTAATTGGCATCCACTGAAAAATGAAAGGGGACAAATGTTTTTTTTTTTTCGTGTGTTCTATTAATTACGTAAATATCAGTTTGGCTCGTGTCATGGGATGTGATAAAGTTTAATATTAGCTATTATTGGCCTACTGAAACTCTTCTCCTTTATCCAGCCTTGGGACTCGCAGCGGAAACCCGCTGATGGAGTTTGATTGGTTGATTTTTCTATTAATTACATAGTATTACATTTAACCCATAGCAAATAAAAACTTGTAAAGTTTTTGTATTACCCCCAAAACTAATGATCAAGCTATCGAAATTGATTGTTATTGAATAATCTTATTTAAAATAGGCATAGCTTCACCAACACATATGATACAAAATAGTTTAAAAACGTAGCTTAGTTTGATCATCTTCAAAAGACTAGACTTTCAAGACTTCTAAAATCTTGTGTACTTTAAAACTTCAAACTAAAAATAATTGTCTTGGAGGGGCAATGATCTTTAAAAGATTACATACATTGCATTCAGATTAACCAAAATCAAGATATTCGCCCTTACATTAATGTCAATGTTCTTTGCAGTAATTCTGTTTCATATTATTAGTAATAAAGGAATATTTTATATCTTATAAATAATATCCCTACATTACAAATAATATGAAGTGAGAGTGAGGGATAGCTCAAGTACGTGGCTAGAGTTCTCCTCCAAGTTCCAAATAATTTTGGGATCGATTCTCATCACTCGGCCTTGTGACTTGCTCTTTTAACATAAAATAAATAAATAAATAAATAAATATGAAGTGAAAATAGTAAAACAAAAAATTCTTATTTTATCACTGAGATAAGTCAAGTTTTACTAGTATTGAAAGATAACTTCCCTAAAATTCTAAAAAAAATACTCAAGTAAAATATTATCTAATGCTATTCTAGCTATAAAACTTCATAGTAAAACATTTCCTATTGAGAAGTGATCAAAAGTTTCCTTGATCCTTTGAATGTTTGTTTACCAGAAGATGTGTGGCTTCTTGATGACTTCATGGTAGAATGAGATGATGTTGCTTTCCTTGAACTCTTGTTCGAGTTTATTGTAGAACCTTTGCTTGATGATTTACGACTTGCTGATTTTTTAGAAGATTTTCTAGATACTTTACTTCGCGATTTTTTAGAAGATTGTTTTGATTCTTGTCTTGAAGTGCTTCTTGTAGATGTTTTTGAAGTTGCCCTTGATTTGTATCCCTTAGAACTTTTAGAAGATTTTTCTAAAGATTGTTTAGATGCTTCACTTGAAGATTTTTTAGACGATTCCTTAGATGCACGAGTTGATGAACTCTTGGTCGAGTTCTTTTTAGAAAATTGAGATGATGTTTGGTTAAAGTACATCCCCGGATAGTTACCAAATGAAGAGTGTTCGCGACTAGAGTTATTGTTGGCTGCTTCTAACGACGGTATACTGATGGGTAATTGGTTAAATTCGCGACTTAAATTACTAAAACGTAGATCAGAGGATTTGTTCAAGGGAGGTCCAAATGTGTTGCCTAAAGTTATATTGAAAGGTTGATTATTGAGTCCTTTGCTTGTAGTGTTTCCAAAGGGCAGGTTATCAAATGTGTTGTTCAAAGGTGTTAAAGGATGATCATCAAATGAAGACATGTTAAAATTTTGATTGAATTCAGATGTTTTTCCTTCTGACTTTTTCTCCAATGATTTTGGAAAAGATTGATTGGAATCTTTGATTATGAAGTTTCCAAATGGTTGCCCCGAACCTTGCTGGCCTGAAATTTTGACCAAAAAAAGATTAAACCATGTTGTATATATTTTCTCAATTAATGTAATTAAACATTATACTACGTACCTCCGTGTGGCTCCGTTTTATATTTTTTTCATAGATATTATTTGTGAGATATAAAATATTCTAAAGTTACAAAAAAAAATAAAACGAAGGTAGCAGTGGACAAAATTTTTTCTCAAATCTTAAGCATCATACGGAAATTAGTATTAAAATAAGCGAATTGGCATACATGCATGATGCATGCTTACACAAGGATATGTTAAGACATTTCAAGAACAGAAAGAGTATTTAGATATATTAATTCTTTAACCTTTCTTATCCTGAGCATTTGTTAGACCCATGCCAAATCCTCCGAAAGCAGCTCTAGGGGCTAATGAGTTTCCTCCAACACCCCCTCCTGCAATTACACCTCCTATAAAATGTGCTTCACTCATTATTATTGCTATCTGCAAAAATTAAAATAAAATCATTAAAATTAGGTATATATGTATAAATTTATCATCCAATTTCGAATAAGAAGAAAATATTATGTACTCTATAATTATTTTACATAGAAAGTATTATTTTCGTATAAAATGAAGAAAATATTAATTATGTTTTACATGGAGAAGTGCGAATATGTTTAAGCTGTGTGATCCCATTGAAAGTACGTAAGAATAAGTGGATACTTCAATTTTGATAGAAGAAAGGCGGTTTTTTTTTTTTGTTCTTTATTTTATTTTTATTTTTCCTGTTTTAGGAGAAATTTGGTACAGTATTAGTAGTAAATAGGAAGAAATTAAAGAAAAAAAGGGCAATGAGAGTATTTATACCATTATCCAAGTTTATTAATTGGAGGGAGAAATTATCTCCACCCTTAGTATATTATTGACATTAATGCAATGGCCTATAGTTTTGATAAATTATGTTCCACAAAAATGTAACTGTACTTGTTCTCTTTTCTAAATTAAACATACCATATATAGTACTAATAGTAGGTATATATGGAAGGAATTAAGAGGCTAGTAGAGAGCATAAGAAAATTTACTATTTTAGGGAATAAGTAATTGAAGAAAATAATTGCAACAGAAATCAGCATAATATTTTTTTAGACAATTAAATACGTACTCCATAAAAAAGATTCGATGTAAGCTCAGTATATATACAAAATCATCTTGTATACCACCAATTAAATTATGCTAAGTAAAAGTCCAACTAAGTAAGTAAGTATGTATTTAATTAAATACGAGAGGGAATTTGTTGCAACAGATTCCAGTTTAGGTTCTTGGTTTTTTGGAGTCGGAACCTATAGAATACCTTGTAATCTGATAAAAGTATCATTTAAGTTCAAATTATACACCAATGCTAACCTATGTAGGTTTCGGTTCTCAATTTTCGGTTATTATTTTGAAGAACTTAACTGTTGCAATAGGTTCCGGTTTTAAGAATTTTAACAAGGTAATTTGTTATGCTCACCCCTATTAAGCATACGTTGTGAGTAGCAGACTTTTTTTTTGTGTGTTCCACCCGGTTCACGACCCTTTAGTTAGGTTAATCCAAATTCAGGGATCAGTTTTAATTTGGTGGTTAGGTTTTAGTCCCCTCTCAATTGTTATTGCTTGTAGGGGATTGAACACGCGAACCTTCCTACCAAGTGCAGTCTCAATCACCACCACACCAACAGACAATTAGTAGTCTAATTGTGATCCTTTTGTAAATTATAATTATAACACAAAAAAAAACTACCCATGCATAGTAAAATCTGCACCTTCTCTCCTTCCTAGTGTGAACTTAATGGCTACACGCTATCATGTTGCATCACTTAGATAATTTGGAGGAGAATGATATTTTTTTTTTTTTTGAAAGGAGGAGAATGATATTAATGATGTTGAGGAAATGTTTGAGAAAACTAGTAGTTTGGAAGGGGCTGTCGTATGTATTTGATATGAAGGATAAAGCAAATGGCCTATTCAAATTGAAAGATAGATTATTATAGCTTAGTGCTGCTTTTTTGTGTTCTACAATAAGGGTAACAAATGCTTTTCTGTTATAATATTATTAATATCTAGTGATGATCCTCATATATGTGAGGTTAGTTAGTCTTGGGGTGAAGGAGGTAGCTATTAGTTTGCATTTGAACATTGCGGCTAGTGCAATTACTTTTGTTGTCTAGTTTTGGAATCTAATTAATATAAGAAATGTGAGGGCCTTGTTTAGAAGAGGATATATATAACTTTGGAGAAGGCATATGAAGAATTTAAATCCGCATATGAGATTGAACCAAATAACAAGGAAATTGGGAAGGAAGTATCAATCAATCAAAGTCTTAATCTTATATTTGAGAAGAAAATTCAGAAAGAAATAGCAAGATTGGAGAAAATTATCTTTAGGAATCTTGATGGTGAAGAGACTAAGGCCCTGTTTGATTCACCTTAAAAAAATAATATTAAGTAATAATAATTTCAGTTCAATAAAAATAAGTTCAGTTCAGTAAAATTGATTCCAGTTCAGTAAAAATAATTTCAGTTTAGTAAAAATAAGTTCAGTTCAGTAAAATTCACTTTTCTTAAAGAAGAATTATAATAGAAAATTAGTAAAAATAATTTCAGCTCATTAAAAATAATTTAAATTCAATAAAAATAATTTCAGTTCAGTAAAATTAAGTTCAGTTCAGTAAAAATAAGTTCTGTTCAGTAAAAATAATTTCAGTTCAGCAAAATTAAGGTGAATCAAACAGGGCCTAATTTTGAGGAGAAAATGATACTAAAATAACCCTAGTGTCAATTATCAATGAGTTCCCATCTCATCAGCTTAAATCTCACTAGCTTAAATAAATGAATAATATAAATATTTTTTAATTGGGATAAGTGAGTATTTAGTAACTGAAAATTGATCAAAATATGCTATAGTTAAGAGAATATTAAAAATGAGTATGAGTCTGAGAATTGATTCAAGCTAGGAACAATAAAAAAATGCTTAGGCTCTGTTTGGGTCCAATTTAGTCAAAATTGGGCCTAAGCAATAAATGATCCAATTAAAAGCCCAAGGTCAAGGTTCAACCCTCCAATTGCACAAAAGTCAAAGGTCAGCCCACAAAGCATGCCAATTGGGCTAAGGCCCAACCTCACCATGTATGATGAGGTATAAAAGCCATCATATTCACGTTCATATTCAGATTCTGGTTGATATGCTCATTCTTGCATTCAGATATATTCCACAAAAAGCCTCAAGCTACAAACTCTCTTGCATAGTGTCTTCCTTTTACACATTGTACTGACTTTAGCATCGGAGGGGCCTTCCTCGGCAACACCCCCGAGGCTAGTTTACGTGTGTTTACTGTGCAGGAAACCTTCGGCCCAACATAACTTGGACCGAATCCAGTCTTCTCCATTTCAGCGGACCTTCGGCAAGGTCCCATTGTTTTCACCCGAAACAATTTGGCGCCGTCTGTGGGGAAGACTTTCAAAAATCTTTAAGCCAAATTCCTAACCAAGATCATCTTGCAATTATCTTAGCAGCCATGGCTAAGAACCGCAAGAGCAAAAGCCTCCGTCAAGGAGCGGGCGAAAAGCCTAAAACCCCTACACCATCGCCCTCGCCGGACCGGAACTCTCCCAAGGGTGCCGGCTCGGGGGGAGGATCATACAAGGAGGATTCCCTATCTCCCGTAATGCATGACTCTCAATATAGGCCGGACCACTCTCGGTCTAGCAGGGGTCAGTCTGATCATAGGACATATTCAGTGTCCCAAAGCCAACCATCGGCTGCGCGGCCTCATTCCCACACTCGGCCGAGGACCCCTTTGACGGGGCCCAGTTCGGAAGAGGTGGCAAGAGCGCTGGCAGTACTCATGGAGGCAATGAGGGCACAGAATATGCCACCGCCTCGTGATCGAACTCCTCCGCATACCCGGCATCAGCGGAGGAAGTTAGACCATGACGGTGGGAAGCTTCCTTCCTTCCGGGAACTGGAAGAGTGGGAGGAGGATTCTTGGAAAAATGAAAAACAGAGGAAAAAGAACCCTCAATTATTTAAAGGATCCTCATCCTCAAGACCAGAAGCGCATAAGAGCAGCAGCTCAGCTTCTCGGCCAGAATCTACTCGCCGGGAACCTGAGACTGTTCGCAGAAGCGTCCTTGACCGACTCGGCGGCCAGGAACCGAGCGTGCGTAGTCGCCTCTCGTTCCCTGCAGCCGAGGCCCAGACTTCCCAGCCAGGGACGAAAACCACTCCTACCTCTCTAAGAGGGCGGAGAGCGGTCCCTTCGGCCAGGAACAAGGGCAAGGCCGTTATGCTACCCGCTAGTTCACCATTCGAGCAATGGATACTGGAAGAGCGCGTACCCACGGTTAAAATACCGTCGCATATCACATATGACGGGACCACGGATCCGAAGGACCACGTGGCCTCGTATGAGACTCATATGCATCTTTGCCCCAGATCCGAGGCGACTTGGTGCAAATATTTCCCAACCACTCTCAAGGGGGTCGCGCAAGCGTGGATCTCCAAGGGAGTAAGGCAAGGCTCCATAACAGGTTGGGATGATCTGTCCTCCAAGTTCAGGAGCAAGTTTTCCACGGCAAACCGCCGAGAGAAGACTACCGCAGAGCTCATGAGTCTGCAACAGGGGGAAACCGAAGCCTCCGAGACTACCTGACCCGTTTCAGTAACGAGTCATCAAGCGTCTCCCAGTTGGACCAGGGGCTAGCCGTTTTCGCAATGCAGAATGGCCTTCAGCCAGGAAAGTTCCTAGACTTCATGGTCATGCATACCCCGCAGACTTTGGAGGAAGCTCTTAGTGCTTCGGATAAGTTCATCCGAGCCGAAGAATGGAACAAAGCGAAAACCCAACCTCAATCCGGGGGAGGGAAACAGAGGCAAATACCCTTGTCTGAAGGCCAAGGCCATAAGGCAAAGGGAAAGTCAAAGGCCCCGGAGCAATCTTTGGCCAACGACCCAAAGAAGGAAAGATTTGCCTCATACACAGGCAGATACGAGTCCTACACTCCGCTCTCTCTTCCACGCGCCAAAATTTACAGTGTGACGAAGGAGGAGCAGAGTTACCGAAAGCCGAGACCACTCCCAGAGTGGTATCAGCGAAAAAATAAAAATCAGTGGTGTGAGTTCCACGAGTCTTCGGGCCACAACACTGAGGAGTGTATTCAACTGAAGGACCAGATAGAGGACATGGTCCGGAAGGGATACTTGAAAAAATACATCGCGGATCACCGCGAGAAAAAAGAATCCGAGAGGTCAGCAAAGGACCATCGGCAGGACCTTGATTTCCCCCGGAAAAACAGTAAAAAACCGGAGGGGAAATTCCCTCCGATCAATGTTATCTCGGAAGGAATATACTCTCGGAGGGAGCACAAGCGTCACCTTAGAGCTTTGACTCACCAGGTGAACAACGCTGACATTCAATCTCCCCAGTCGCCGGTGCCGAACATGACGTTCACAGCCGCCGACT